TTTAGTTTGTGTTTCGTGTGTTAGGTGGCTCTTTGCTTATGTACCAATATACTTGTAGATGCTGTCTTTTTGGTTGATTGACTTTTTTTTTTTTTAAAGGTTTATTTATTTATACAAGCACAGGGTACAGTCAGAAGCACTGGAGGGTGAGAGAATTCACCAGAGCCAGAGTGGGGAGCAGAACAGGCAGACTGACGAAATACACTGCTGAGGGGAGCAGCGGGCACGGCAGGAGAGGTCTGGGCGCCATGTGGGACCCTCGCTGACTGACTGGGGATCGAACCGGCGCTGCAGAGGCTGCGGACAGCTTCACAGCCCAGCGCTCAACTGCTGCGCCACCTGGGAGGCCCTGTTTGACTCTTTTATCTTAGTCACTAGTAAAGAATTTGTTCCAATATGTATTGTGATATTAGTAAAAACCTTTACAGCCATCATTTGGTTAGTTTGAATATATAGATTTTTTTTTTTTTACTTGTGTTTTTGAATCTGAGGTGTGACTATTCTTGAGAATTTGTAATTGGGTTATAATTTTTATCCATTCTGTGAGTCTCTTTACCTTTTGATTGTTTAGCCCACTATTATTTATTATAAGTACTGGTAAGTTGTGGATTACATCCACTATTAAGTCAATTGTAGTTCTTATGTCTTTTTTGTTTTGTTCCTGTATTATGTCTTTTTTTGCATTACCTCCTTTTTAAGTATTTCCAATTTACCATTTTAATTTGGTTTTTATTTATATATATTCTTAGTGATTGCCTAGAGATGACAATTAAAATGTTTTTGTTCAGATTAGTACCAATTTAATTTATGTAGTATAGAAAAACTTTTCTTCGGGCCTCCCCGGTGGCAAGCGGTTGAGCGCTGGGTTGCGAAGCTGCCGGCAGCCTCTGCAGCGCTGGTTTGATCCCTGGCTGCTCCCCGGCCACTGGAGGAGGGTTCTGCATGGCGCGCAGACCTCTCCTGCCGCCCACTGCTCCCCTCAGCAGTGTACTTCTGTCCTTCTGCCTGCTCTGCTCCCCACTCTGGCTCTGGTGAATTCTCTCACCCTCCCGCGCTTCTGACTGTACCCAGTGCTTGTATAAATAAATAAGTAAATCTTTAAAAAGAAAAGAAAAAGAAAAACTTGTCTTCTGTATCTCCACTCTCTTTCCCTTACTTTTTGTCATTTGGTCATATAAATCATATAATGTCTTACATTACAGGGCCTCCCTGGTGGCGCAGTGGTTGAGTGCTGGGTTGTAAAGCTGCCCACAGCCTCTGCAGCGCTGGTTCGATCCCCGGCCACTGGGCGAGGGTCCCACATGGCACGCAGACCTCTCCTGCTGCCCACTGCTCCCCTCAGCAGTGCACTTCGCCAGTCTGCCTGTTCTGCTCTCTGCTCTGGCTCTGGTGAATTTTCTCACCCTCCTGCGCTTCTGACTGTACCCCAGTGCTTGTATAAATAAATAAATAAATCTTTAAAAAAATCTTATATTACAGTTGTCTTTTTAAAGTAGAGGGGAAATGAACAACTATGTAAAAAAAATTTTTTAATTAAAAGGAAAAAAAAACACAGTAATTGCTATCCTCAGGGAATTAAGAGTCTAGATTTATTGAACAAGATAATAAATGTTTGGTGTATAGAGTGGTAAATCCTATGAAAGAGAAAAAAAGCATCTGTAGGGATACAGAAAATGGGCATCTAAATCAGCATCAAAAGATCAATAAATACTTCGAAAAAGAAAGAAGTGGGAGAAAAATAATTTACAAACAAAAAATCAATTTATAGTTTTATATTTACATGTACTGTTTGCTAGCAGTAATATCTCTCCGGTTTTTTCTTAGTTGGGGATATCTTAATTTCTTCATTTTGAAGAAGTTTGGCTGAAGAATCTAGGTTAACTTTTTTTCTATCAGCATTTTGAAGATGTCATCCCATTACAACTAGCCTCCATGGTTTCTGATGGAGAAGCAAGCTGTTAATCTTACTGAAGCTCCCTGGTATGTGATGAGTGCTGTCACTCTTGCTCCTTTCAATATTATTTCTTTGTGTTTATCTTTTGACAGATTGATTATGATGTGTCCGGGTATAAGTACTTTGAGTTTATCCTCCTTAGAGTTTATTTATTTATTTAAAGATTTATTTATACAAGAACCAGGGTACAGGCCAGATGTGCGGGAGGATAAGAGGATTCACCAGAGACAGAGCGGGGAACAGAACAGGCAGACTGAAGAAATACACTGCTGGGGGGAGCAGCAGACATGACAGGAGAGGTCTGCAGCACCATGTGGGACCCTCGCCGGCCTGCTGGGATTGAATCGGCACTGCAGAGGCTTCACAGCGGTCACTCAACCGCCTGCACCACCAGGAGAGGCCCCCTACTTAGAGTTTATTGAGCTTCCTGAAGTAGATTAATGTGTTCCCTAAAATTTGGGTATTTTCAGACATTTATTCTTTCTTTCTACTTGTTTCTCTCCTGGAACTTATATTCTACTTATGTTGGCACACTTAATAGAATCCCACAGATGTCTGAGACTGTTCACTTTCATCCTTGTTTTGTTTCTATTCCTCATACTAGATACATTCATTTAATTTGTGTTCAAGGTCACTGATTATTTCATCTGCCTTCTCAAATCTGTGGAATCACCTCTAGTGAATTTTTCATGTCAGCATTAGAATCGTCAACTCCAGAATTTGACTTTTTCTTACAGTTTCTCTTATTTTCATTTGATTAAACATTGTTCTCACAGTTTCCTTTAAATATTGAGCTGTGGTTTTCTTTGGTTCAAGTTCAGTGAATTGGCTTCTGTGAGACAATTTCTGTTGACTGCCTTTCTGCACTCCCCAAATAAGCCATATTTACTTGTTCCTCTGGATGTCTCATATTTTTTGCTGAACATTGGACATTTTAAATAATACGACAGCTCAGTCATTCTCCCCCATGTTTGTTGTTGCTTTTTGTTGTTGTCATTTTAGTGGTTACTGTTTAGTTTCCTGAAATAATTCTGTGATATCTGTATTCTTTGAGTTTATATCCTGTGATTATAAGTTGATTTCCTGAGATGTTTGGAGTCAGTCAGCCTCCTATCATTTGCCAGTAAGCTCTGTGCACTTAGGGACATTCTTCAACCTCCATCTAAACAACCTTGTCCTTTACTTTCTGGTTGCTCAGAGCCTTGTGGTCAGCCAGAGATGAGGACTTAGGCCTTGTCATGTCTCTTTGAGTATATTCGCTCCCTTATATGTACACGTAACCTAGTATCCCAGGATACTATGTCAGAGCTTTCAAAGGCCCCTATGGATTTCTCATTCCACTTTTGTTGTTTTGGCTTGATGTTTGTCCCAACTGTAGCTCTGTCTCAGACAGTGGTAATGTTAAGCAATTCCTGCTGATTGTTTCAAGCAAAGGCCTCTAAGGAGAAGGTTGTTTGCATTGGGTGAGCTCTGATTCACTTCAAAGACAAGCCATACAAGTGAAGTTTTACAGGGTATTCTCACATAGGTCAAATAATTAGTTTCTGAGAACAGGGTTTTAGAATAATTCCATCCTCCTCTGATCCTTTCGTTGGTGCCTAGATTAGTGATTTTCACTTTGAAGACTGTTGATTTTCAAGTATATTGCTTAGGTAGAAAGATTACTGATGATTAACCACCTTTTTTTTTAAGTACTCCCAGATATTTGTAAGACATTGATTATTTTCAGACTTCGTAAATGTTGACTTTAAGTTAAAGAAATAAAAGTTGACTTTAATAATTTGTGCCCATATTCTCATTGCAGTTAGGGGGAAGATAGGATTTTGTAGGTGCTCTGCCTTTTCTACTGAAGTTGCTCAGAATTTAAGTCAAAACTGAGAAGTAGGGGACTTGATTGAACATATTTACACAAGGCAGTAATTGAACCAGATTTGATCCATAAGAAAAGGCAAGTGTGATGCCTTAAAGCTGAAGTGTCTTTATCCTGAAAAATTTAAGTAATTCCTTCCTCCCCTGCAAAGTCACAAGGCATATTTTGACAGAATATCAATAGAATAAGAACCTCTACTGATATCCTATCCATTGTTCTTTTTGTGCTGTGTTACTGTTTTTAATGAAACCCCATAATCCTGAGAAACAAAAGAATAAGAATAGATTGCCACTGAGGAAAAGTAGAACTTTCATATGTGTATCAAGCACTGGCATATAATACTGTTCCATAAATGTCAGGTGTAAATGATAAAGTTCTTGTTGAAATGGCCAATGCTTTGATTCCCACGGGCATAATTACAAACCAAAAAAGTTCCTTTCTTGTCTTTGATGCAAAGGTAAGTCTTTTTGGTTTTGAGGCGAGGGTTCCAAAATCCTTTGGGCAAATAAGTGAAGTAAATAACAATATTGGGAGGATGTAGTTTTTATAATTCAGGAAGCGATTTATACCATTCACTGACCTACCAATATAGAATAAAGGAGTATCTCTCATTTCTCTATTGATTTTCTTACCTGTTTAGTGTAGTGATCATCAGGTTTGTCTGTTGGTTCTCTTGTTATGTTCTCCTATGTAAGTATGACTGTGTACCACCAAGCAGCCATCTATTTTATTGTTTCTTCTTTGTCTTGCAGCACAATCTGGTATTTCTAGGCAAGTCTGTAGAATTCTAGCACATTCCATCTGAGTTTCCATTTGTCATATTGAAACTGCTGTAGCATTTTTTTTTTAAAGATTTATTTTTATTTATTTATACAAGCACTGGGTACAGTCAGAAGTGCCGGAGGGTGAGAGAATTCACCAGAGCGGGGAGCAGAGCAGGCAGACTGAAGTACACTGCTGAGGGGAGCAGCGGGCAGCAGGAGAGGTCTGCGTGCCATGTGGGACCTTCCTCCAGTGGCTGGGGAGCAGCCGGGGATTGAACCGGCGCTGCAGAGGCTGTGGGCAGCTTCGCAACCCAGCGCTCAACCACTGCGCCACCAGGGAGGCCCTGCTGTAGCATTTTTAACAGCAGTTTGTCAAAAGTGCAGAATTTACTGAAACTTTATTTTCATTTAGGTTATTTACAACAGGAAAACCTCACTTCTACCTGCCAGACTTTTATTTTGGAAAGCTCAAATTTAAAAGAATATGCAGAACACTGTACAGATGATGGTTTTATCCCAGCCTGCTTACTGGTAAGTGATTTGTTCTTAAGGGATGTATTTAATCATTGACCAATATGAGAGTCTATAAATACAGTCTTAAAACCAGCTCATTAGTGGCTTCAGTATTGACAATTTTATGTTTTTTATTCATGTGTGACTGGAATGACCCAAAGAAAGGCCACCTTTTCTTTTCACACATCTATGTCAAAGCTGTTTAGTAAATTTCAACTTTACTTAACATGAGACTCATGTTTGAGTCTCATATCTAGGGTTAGAGCATTTCCAATCTGATCAGTTTCAATACTGCTTGTCTGGGAGCTTATTTACTGTCTCTTAGGATCTCAGAATAGTCTTGTTACCCCCAAAATTCTTATGTTGAAACCCTAAACCCCAGCATGATGGTATTTGGGGGTGGCACCTTTGGGAAGTTAATAGGTTTAGTTGAGGTCATGAGTTTGGATCCTCATGATGGAATTAGTGTTTTCATGAAAAGTGGGAGAGTGTCTTTCTTTATCCATGCACACACACACAAAAGGCCTTGTTTGTACCCTGCAAGAAAGGGGATGTCTGTGAAAGTGCAGACAATTCAGTGGAACAAAGATCCTATCAACAAATGTGTTAGAACAATTTCCAGGTACAAAAAAATCTGTATACCTCATACAAAACTTAACCATAATTGAAAATATACCAAAATGTGAAACACTGAATTATAAGGCTCCTAGAAGAATGCATAGGAGAAAATCTGTATAATCTTGGGTTTGGCAGTATGTTTTTCAGTATACCAAATGTACTGATTACAAAGGGAAAATTTGATAAATTCAGCTTTATAATACTCTCTCTAGAGACATTGTTAAAAGAATGACAAGTGACTGACTAGGAAAAACATTTCTAAGTCATATCTGATAAATGATTTGTACCCAGAATATGTAAAAACTTTTTTTAAAAACTCTCGTAAATGGGAGAGAGATCTGAAGACACTTCCTCAAAGAAAATATAGACCTAGTATAAACATGAAAAAAATGTTCTGCTATGTAAGTGATAAGGAAAATGCAAATTAATATCCCATATTACACACTGTCATATCTTTGCTGGCAAAGATATAAAGCAGCAGGAACTCTCCTTCATTGCTCATGAGAATGCATAATCATACAGCATTTTTAAAAACTGAACATATACTGACAGCTCATTCAGATAGTCATTCAAATGAACTGTAAAACTTGTGTTCTCATAAAAATTGGCACACTAATATTTGCTTGTGATTTTCATAAACTGAAAACAGCCCAGATGTCTTTCAAATTGAATGAATAAACAGAGTTCTATATTTATACAATTGAATACTACTAAACAATTTTAAAAAACCCACTTTTGATTCATACGTATCACAGAGAAATCTTAAATTTTTCTGAATATTTTGTTAGTAATTCTAAATAAATACGTTGTCGATAACGGGAGAGCCAGGTTTCTCACGGTGTGTTTGTAACAAAGTAGGTCTTTGGCAAGATCCAAGGTCAAAGTGCCTTTGATTCAGGGCCTCTCTAGTGATGCATGGGGTTAACTCGCAGCACTATGGCACTATCTGCAGCCACTGCAGCATGACACGAGTTGGATCCCCGGCCAGCAGGGAGATAATCCACATGGTGCAGCAAAACTCTCCTGTCTTCCCTGCTACTCCCCTCACCAGTGTATTTCAGTCAGTCCGCCTCTTCTGTTCCCCACTCTGTCTCTGGTGAATCCTCTCACCCCCCCTGTATCCCAGCTCTTGTATGCATAAATAAATAAATCTTTAAAAAAAAAAAAGTGCCTTCGACACATTCCTGGAAGGCTGTCTTCCTGGCTGGTAGATGACCTCCTCTTCACTGTGTTCTCATGTGAATCTTGGAGGAGACAATTTAGTCCATTCAGTCTTCAGCAGTAATTCAACAGTTATTTATTATATCATGATACATGGAGAAAAGTTTATCATTGTTTTTAATAAGGGATATGTAGGTTAAAACCACAATGAGATATCACTGCACTCCCATGAGAAGGGCTTAGATAAAAAAGACCACCAACAGGGCCTCCCTGGTGGCGCAGCGGTTGAGCGCTGGGTTGCGAAGCTGCCCGCAGCCTCTGAGGTGCCCGTTCGATCCCCAGCTGCTCCCCGGCCACCGGAGGAGGGTCCCGCATGGCGCGCAGACCTCTCCTGCTGCCCGCTGCTCCCCTCAGCAGTGTACTTCGGTCCTTCTGCCTGCTCTGCTCCCCGCTCTGGCTCTGGTGAATTCTCTCACCCTCCCGCGCTTCTGACTGTACCCAGTGCTTATATGTATAAATAAATAAATAAATAAATCTTTATTAAAAAAAAAAAGACCACCAACAAATGCTGGAAAGGATGTAGAAAAAGAAGAATCCTGTTAAACTGTTGGTGGTAATGTAAACTGGTACAGCCATTTTGGAAAGTGATCTGGATTTACCTTAACAAACTAAAAATGGAATTGCTGTATGATTTAGCAATCCCACTCTGGGCTTCCATCCAAAGAACATGAAATCATAAACTCAAAAGTTACATGCTCTACAGTGTTTGTTGTGGTATTATTTATATTAGCTAGACGTGTGCCCACTGGTAGAGAATTGGATTGAGAACATGTGGTATAGCCATACAATGGAATATTTTCTCATCAGAAGGAAAGACTAAATGTTGCCATTTATAGCAAAATGGAAGGAGTTACGGGAATCATGTATAGTAAGTAAAGCAAGTCAGAATCACTGACAAATGTAAGACATTTACAACATCCAGTGCTTGCTGCTTCAACAAAGTAAAATACCTATTAAAAAGTGATGGACACTAATAATGAAGTAAGACTTTAAATTAGGGAGAGAAAGGGTCATGGGGAATAAGGGATGTTGGGGGGGTGGAGATAAAGAGTAAATATTTTTTGTGGATATTCTGTACATACATAGAGAACTGAGTTTGTGAGAGAGGAGAGAGAAGAAATGGATGACAAGTCATAAATGATAAAGAAATAGATCAACAGCAGGAGAGGAGGAGGGAAAGGGATTGGAGGGAGGGAGGAGCACAAGGGACTGTGGTGATGGTGCACAGGTGCATTGGTGAAGGAAACTGGGGACTCCACCTGAGGGGGTGGGGGAAAGCAAATACTGTTTAAAAATGAACAATGATGTAAAAATAAAAAAAAAATTTTAGAAAGATCCACAGGCAGATGTTGAAAGAAAAGTTACAAAAAGGCAATGAAAAAAGACAAGCCACAGACTGGGAGAAAAAAGGTAGTCATAAAGTCTTGTTCAAATAGATGAAGTAAATAAATCTTTAAAAAAAAAAAAACAGGGCCTCCCCTGGTGGTGCAGCAGTTGAACGCTGGGCTGTGAGGCTGCCTGCAGCCTCTGCAGCGCCGGTTCGTTCCCCCACCACCAGTGAGGATGCCACAAAAAAAAAAAAAAAAAAAAAAAGCTGTAGTTCCTTAATCTTAGGAGGTGTAATGCAGCCCCTAACTTATGTGACATCCCATTTTTGATGACCTACACTTTATTCTTTCATATCTGCTACTCTGCAATCCAAATACTTAATTGGCATTTATGTGGTAAAATGTTTCATAGTAGGAAATTATTCATATTATTATACATTTTTGGTAAAACTTGATCTTTTTCTTTACAGTCCTTATTTGGAAAAAACTTGACAACAATTTTGAATGAATATGTAGCTATGAAAGCAAAAGGTAAGGGTTTAGGTTTTTTTTTTTTCTTTCTGTTTTATGCAGTATTTATATTACTGTTTTAATTAGAAGTTTCTCTAGAGGCTATTAATGCCTCATAAAACCCAGATTTGTCTTAGTTATGATGAGATCATTGTTACTGGGAAATACCTGATTAGATTGTGTGCATATTAAGTGATAATTTATAATGATTATAAATATCTATTAGCAAATATAACAAGAAAATACTTTTTATAAAATAAAACAGCTCTGTGTATCTATCTGATGAACAGATTTAGACTACAAAGTTTTATGCTAATACTATATAAACTTTTTTGTGGTCTAAATCTGGACGCAGGAAACAGGCATAAAATCTTGGTTTCTATTTACCATAATAAAAAATAGTATTTTCCTGAATTAATGTTTAAGGGGGAAAGTTAAAACTTTATTTTAGTCTTTAATATCAATTATTTCCATGGCTTACAGCATTAACAGAAGAATTAACAGTAAAGAGTTAATTAGCATGAAAAGATAACATTAAAAGAAATAAGCTTAAGGTCTACTGAATACTGTCTATATGCAGCATTATGCTAAGTGCTTTTGTGTGTAAGCCAATGAGAGGTATTAATAGTTTAGATCCCTTTAAACTATGAGGAAACTGAGAATTGGCAAAACAATATAACGTCCCAGATCACCAAACTAGAAGTTATAGGAAAGTAATAGACCTTGAAGTCAGGGCTTGATTTCATGTTTTTCTTCAAGAAAGTAACTTGATCTTTCTGCCAAAAATTTTTTCCCCAAACTATCTTACCAGGAATAGATCAGAAACAATGTACTATTGCAATACAAAGGTTTATATCCCACTTTATTTGGGGGAACTTTCTCTGGTTTGAGCTTTCTCTGGTTTTTTTTGTAAGTATATGATGATCTTAAATGTCTTGAGTTTTTCACATTTGTGAATTTGAGCACATTCTACAAAAAAGATTAATTTGTCCACAGGCCTCTGACCTATAATTCTTAAGTTACAGTAACAGATGAGCAATCAGTGACTTGGATATGAAAATCCTGGATTTAAAATAAATTTCTACACTCAGGAGTTTGTGAATTAAAAACTGAATTTTTAATTCACTTTCAAATGTCACAGGATGTGAAGCAGAACAAAGATCAAAAATAGCTTGTGGTTTTTAATTTTTAATACAAAGTAAATATAACATTGAGCAAAAAAAGATTCAGAAATTTTGAAACAGGACAGGGAGGCCACCCAAGAAAAGAGAGAAACCAAAAGACTAAAAGCCAAACCAATGGCTATAGTAATACAGCACTTATACAGTAAGGGCCTATAGCCAATCAAAGGTCAGTGCCCAATAGAGGATAGGTGACAGTCTGTGGATTCTCACCTGAGGCTCCAGGAATAACAATGGGGTTTATTTTACAAACGGGAAACAGAGCTTATGGTAGACACGGTAAGCTGTGGCTGGCCGTCTCACCCCAGATAGTGTCCACCAGAAGTACAGATGTATGCGGAGTGCCAGTAACCTGTCACCAAAGCTGCACAGCACTGGCCAGTAGTGATGGTCACTACTGCTCACCCAGAGGTGATATCAGAGACACCAAGTGGTAACGTAGCTTTGTGAGTTGTATTGATACCAACAACAAACAGCTCTTTAAGATACCAGGTCCGGGACCTTAGGTGCTCTTTCCAAGCGAAGTCAGAGACAGGACCAGAAGCCTGATCTCTGACAAAGGTCTTCCACTTCTCTTCCTTCCTCAGAGGTAAGCTGCTGAATGCTGCTGCTTTCTTTTTTTCTTCAGAGGCCAGGAATGGAGTCTTCCCCTTCTTCCTTCAGAAGCTGGAATGATGTCTTCTTTCTTCAGAAGGCTGGAACAGTATCCCTCATCTCCCTCCAGTCCTGGCTTATATCCTCTTTCAGGGTGCCCCATTTACAAGTCTGATTGGACCATTTTTTCAGTCAGAATAGCTCTCACCCGATTGGCCCATTTCTATGATCCTGGCACCATTGATAAAAGGGAAGTTGCTAGGCTCTGAGGAGCCACAGACTGAATGGGCCTGTGGTAGAGCAATACAGGGTGAGAGCCCACCACCTATCACTGAGACAGGGTTCCAGTTTCAGTTTCACAAATGTCTATTTCTATTCATGCTGTGTCTGACACTCAATAACTTGAGAAAAGAAAGACTTATTACAGCTTTGCAGATCATTTTACAAAATAGACTTTTCTCTGTTCTCAATATGATGTCAACACCTGAAGTTGTCCATACTGATTTTCTTTGTGTTTGTTTGAATTAAATAATCTCCCACTTTTCCTCTTTAATTTTAGAAACATCAAAAGATGTCCCAGCAATAATGTCATCTCTGTGGAAGAAGTTAGACCACACACTTTCTCAGATCAGGTAATAAAGCGCTTACATAATAAGCTTATCAGAATGTCCATAATGATTGGGAAATGCTGACACATGTAAGAATCACTTAAGGTTTAAATCATGACCTACACTGTATTGATTGCATGTCCCTTTGGTTCTTCCTTTATAGAACAGAAGCTTAAATAATAATGCTACATCTAGAATCTTGTACTTCAGAATTTTCATGTAGAACTGATAGTCCACCCTTTACTTAGGTCATGGCTTTGAAATGCCAATTTGGACATCATTGAAAGGATACCAGCCCTGTTGGTATCAATTTTATAATATGTCTTATTTAACTCTAGGATCTGGTATGAAATTCGTAGTCTCTTTTCTCCCAGAACCACAAGTGAATATTGTTAAATTCAGCAGTCTTCATTTCCTTCCTCAGTTTAAACTACAAAAATGGCTGCAAATGCTTTTAAACTGTACCCCATCTTATTTGGGGTATTAAAGAGGGGATTTATTCTTCCTCTCTTAGCATTTCTCCCCTAAAAACTCATCTTCAAAAGTATTCAAAATATAAAACCTATAAATATTTATAAATTATTAAGATATTTAATCAACTGGATAGTATAAAAAAAGAAAAGGCTCTTAGCCAGGGTATTCTGCAAGGCTGATTATCTGTTACTAAAAATAATTACTCCATTTACTAAGTTTTGTGGCTCTAGATAGCGTTGTGAATTTTCAGTGTTTGCTTTGTTCCCTCTTCAGAGGTTGGGTAAAATCATTTCATTGTCAAATTTGATAAAAGCAGCATGTCTTTCTGTGTCAAGTTTCGGTTCTTAAGTATTTATATATGGGCTCGTATTTGAAATCAGAATTACTCTGTGAAGGTATCTAAAGTTATAAAAAATAATCTGTAATTATAGAAGTTTATACATAACTTTTTAAATCAAGTACATAGTTCCTAAACTTAAGTCAAATTGTATTCTTAATGGGATGTGTACTGATGTTTATTGTATTGGATAGAAACTTGATTATTAATGTGTGTGTGTTTTACATGATACTGTGTTTCTTGTAAAGCAAGTAAGTTTAGTTACCCACCAAAAATGCTGGTTTTGTCAGCGATCTATTGCCTTTTAAGTCATAATTCAGGTCTTATTCTAATTAAATCAGAGTAGGTGTCTTTTTTAAGACTATTTTTTATTTATGCTTATAAGAACTGGGGTGTAGGCCAGAGGTGGAGGGGGGCGGGGGGTGAGAGACACAGTGAGGAGCAGAACAGGCAGATCTACCAAAATACACTGCTGAGGAGAGCAGCAGGCACAACAGGAGAGGTCTACTGCACTGTATGGTTTAGCTCCCTAGCTGGGCGTGGAACTCATACTGCAGTGGCTGACGATAGTGTGATAGCACTGAGACTTTAACCCCTGCGCCACCAAGGAGGCCCCAGAGTAGGTATCTTAACATCAGAAATTTTATTATGGATAATTTCTTTGTTTTATTTTGTTAGGAGCATGCAAAGTTCTCCAGGGTTTGCTGCCAGTCAGAGAGGTTGGTACTCAACTTAAAACTGTATATAAATGTTCAAAATTATTTCAAACTCAGGTGAACAATACATGTTTGCTAAGTATGTTACAAAATTTTCCTAGAACACTTATATTAGTCAATATTTCATCAGTCATATTTTAATGCTCCCTAATTTATTCACTGGCTGTCATGTGTTCAAATATTTTAGTTCCATTCCTTAAGCCTGTTTAAAGATTTATTTATTTATGCATACAAGAACTAGAGTAAAGACCAGAGGTGTGGGGGTGGGGTGGTGAGAGGATTCACCAGAGAGAGAGCGGGGAGCAGAACAGGCGGCTTGACTAAAATATACTGCTAAGGGGATCAGTGGGCAAGTCAGGAGAGGTCTGCTGTGCCATGTGGGTTAGCTCCCTGGCCGGGGATCAAACTTGTGCTGCAATGGCTGCAGATAGCTTCATAGTGCTACGTCTTAACCCCTTGTACCACCAGGAAGGCCCAAGCCTGTTTCTTATTTTGGGGAGGTATTTTCAGTATATGTTACTGGGGAAGAAATGTACTCACATTTATAAAATTTGTTTCTTAAAGTTTGTTTCTTAAAATGTTATCACATAAACTTAGTTAATACTTTTTTTCAGTCTGTGCATCTGAGGATGTTAAATACTAGGACATGTCTCTTGTAGGCTTCTTAAAATTTCCAAACTACTGTGACATTATGCTAATTTCTAAAAATGCTCATGTGTTTCAGTCCGAACAAGAAATGGAATTGCTGAAATCAAGCGGCAAAGAAGACTTGCATCTCAAGCAGCTCCTGTCAGCTCAGAATTGCTGACTTTACCTTACCTTCCAGAACAATTCACTGCTTCTCCTTTGACAGCTACACCAGTTAATCGGCCAACGGGCCAGATTTCAGCTTCTTTAAGATCAAATTTTGTAGTTGTCAACCATTCACAGTCACAAGACACTGTGACCAGTAAGTTTGAATTTTGCTTTCTTAAATCTTAAATTGTATAAATGAGTGGCACTTCTTTATACCATTTCATATAGTAGGCAATTAGGTACTAGGCAGTAACTGAATTTAGTTTTTAAAAAAATCGTTAATACTACTTACTAATTAAAGTTTACAAAACTATTCAGTTTCCTTGACTTACTGCTTTGTTTTCTTGAAATACAGCTGGAGAAACTTTAAATATCATTCCTGGTCCTCAGGAAAAGAAAAATCATGCCAGTTTAATGTCACCTGGTAGGCGCAAAAGGTAAATGCCTTTTTTTTTTTTTTTTTTTTTAAGATTTATTTATGCATACAAGAACTGGGGTATAGGCTAGGGGCAGGGCGCGGCCAGTGAGAGGATCCACCAGAGACAGAGTGGAGAGCAGAACAGGCAGATTGACTGAAATACACTGCTGAGGGGAGTAGTAGGTGAGTCAGGAAAGGTCTGCTGCGCCATGTGGGTTGCTGCCTGGCTGATCAGGAATCAAACTCGCGCTGCAGTGGCTGCAGATTGCTTCATAGGTTGTGTCTTAACCCTTTGCACTGCCACGGAGGCCCCTATACTTTGTTCTTTATGCTGTTATAAATTAGGTCAAAGGGTTAGAGCTTAACTTGCTGCAAACTACATAGCTTAGACACTTCTTGTTGAAGTCTAGCAATGCTTTTTTACTCTACTGTCCTTTGTTCCTACCGCAGAGAAAATATCTGTTCTACCATGATCTTAAGATACATGTTTCTATACAATTTGTTGCTCATATTGATTAAAGACAAACTTTTAAAATATTTCAGTGACTCTCAAAGGAAAACAATCACTCTTTCTGGGCCTCATTCAACAATACGAAATTTCCAAGATCCAAATGCATTTGCAGTAGAAAAAGTAAGTGGCCTTCCCAATCTCTGCAACTTGAGATATTCCTGAGTTTTTAAATGCTAAAATATGCACAAATGTGTGTGTGTGTGTGTGTGTGTGTGTGTAATTCAGCATTTCTCTGTGTAGTGGAATTGCCATGGGATAGAGTAGCAAACTTTAACAGTAACAGATGGTCCATTCAGAATAGCTTTTATAGATGCTCCGAGTAAGAAACAGCAACATATTTAGGAAACTTGTAAATCCATTGTTCTTGCTGAATTACGTAGTCTAATAGGGCACTTTACCGAAGTCAGATTATTGAAAACCTTGCATGAAAAGCTAAAGTGTTTAGAATAAACTATATTCTTTGTTCAGTGAAGAAGGGGTTGGTGAAGGACCTGTGAAAACTCTCATAGAGTATAGTACTAAGTTACTGATGTGCACAGAGCCACCTGACTTCTGAGTTTCTAGCTAAATTTATTATGCTATCCAGTTTCCATTAACTGGCACTTTTTAACAATTGGATCTTTTTAATACTTTCTTTTCTAGCAAATGGTTATTGAAAATGCACGGGAAAAAATACTAAGCAACAAATCTCTTCAGGAAAAACTTGCAGAAAACATCAATAAATTTTTGACTAGGTAAGCAATATGTGTTTAAAATGCCTAGTTTTTGCCTAATTAAGAACTGTGCTAAAATATCTCAATTCTGTATTACAGTGACAACAATATTGCTCAAGTACCTAAGCAGACAGATAGCAGCCTTACTGAGCCAGAAACCTCAATTGATGAACTATTTGGACTTCAGGTATGGTTAAGTGTGTGTGTGTTTGTGTAAGTGAGAGAGAGAGAGAGAGAGAGAGAGAGAGAGGGAGATACATACACTCATAGTTAAAACTGATGGAATTTTGGTTTCATTTCAAAAACATTGCCAACAGATGAGATATAAAAGATTTAAATTAGGGCCTCCCCTGATGGCGCAGCAGTTGAGCGCTGGGTTGCAAGGCTGCCTGCAGCCTTTGCAGCACCAGTTTGATCCCTGGCCACTGGCGAGGGTCCCACCAAAAAAAAAAAAAAAAAAAGATTTAAATTAATACATACAAATTTATTGCATTAGTTGAATATAAGTGTTTCTGAAAAATCCTTAGTGAATTTTTAAGTGATCATTGTGAATTGTTTAAGTGGTAAAATTTATAAGACTGTCCTAACCCATCAAAGATTCACAAGTGGATATTTTTGTGTGCAATAAATATGCTATATATAGTGTATATATAGATTCTATTTTTTTTTAATTTCTTTTATGCTGCTACAAAAAATGTTAGAGACATACAGTGAATCCAAGTCATAATTAACAAAATGAACAAGACACTTTAAAAAACAAAGGTTACAAATTGAATGAGATTTTCTGCTAGGAGAAGGAATTGAGTTGCTATTCAGTGACAGTGAAGGCGAAAGAAAGTGAGCTGAAGAATTTATTAAGTTGAAAAGTCTATCGATGTACAAATAACCCTTGAAAAAAGCAGCTGAGATTGTTACTATAGGACTTTTTTAATAAAAAAACTATTGGATACATTTTCCCACAGAAAAATTCAGTAAACTAGCAAAATAGGAAAAGCTTTTTAAAGCAACCTTGAAATTATCTACCAATACTACTTTTAAAAGTTTTTCCTATCTTAATATTTAAGAAATGTATATATACTCTTCTGAATTTTTATTGTCTCCAAGTCATTTTTTTCTCCACAAATACAGCAGGTACTTAGCCATAATTAAGCACTCAGATTCCATGAGAAATTATAAGAAAGTAAAGACAAAACCATTGCTCTTGGTTGTTCATAATATTATATATTTGAGAAAAGTTAAAAATATAGATTAAAAAAGAACAGCAAGACATTGTCAACCTGAGTAGTGTGCCTCAGCTTCACTAAGATGTGAACAGCCAGTTGTACAAACAGGTAAAACAGGAATTTTTAATATACTTACAAATATGCAAAATTTCTTAGATTACACAGATCATTATAATTAAAAAAATAGGTTTCCTTAAAATAGAAAATGTCTGTATTTAAAACATTAAAGAAAATTAAAATCAGACCACTAACTTGGAGAAAGTATTCCTAATATATATATCTGGCAAAGAATTTGTGTCCAAGGTACATAAGAAGCTCCCACAAATCAGTAATAAATTACCCATTTTTTAATGGAAGACTGGACTAGACAAAGGAAAATACAGGAATGGCTCGTATGCTCATAAAAAGATACCAGCATTGTCATTTGGGGAATGAAAGTTAAGAACACAATGAGATGCCATTTTTCATACTCTCTAGAATGGTTAAAATTAAAATGTCTGAGGGACCTCCCTGGTGGCTCAAGGGGTTAAGTTTCAGCACTATCAGGTTATTGGTAGCCACTGCAGCATGAGTTTAATCCCCAGCCAGGGAGCTAACCCACATGGCACAGCAGATCTCTCCTATCTTACCCTCTGTTCCCCTCAGCAGTGTATTTCAGTAGATCTTCCTATTCCGCACTCCAGTCTGTCTCTAGTGAATCCTCACACACACACCCCCCAGCACCTTTGACCTACAACCCAGCTCCTGTGTGCATAAATAAATAAAAAAATCTTTAAAATGTCTGACAACAATAAATGTTGGTAAGGATATGAAACAACTGGAACTCTGGAAAATGGCTGGCGGATGAAGTAAAATAGCACAACCAGTATAGAAAACTGGTAATTTCTTAAGTCATCTGTACACCTCGTGTACACCTGACTGTATACTACTAAATAGTAAAATGTAATAAATTGTTAATACACATAACAACTGGATGAATTGCAAAAGCATGTTGATGGGTGAAAGTAGACACAAAAGAATATATATTGTATGATTCAATTAATATTAGGTTTTAAAATAGGCAAAAATAATATATGCTGATAGAAATCAGAAATTTTTGCCTGACTAAAGGCAAGGGGAGTGATCTGCCAAGGGGAAAAACTCTAGAAAGATGTATGAATATCTTGAATGATAGAAGGCTTCTACATTTCATTTTGATTGGAGAGGTGATTACATGGTCCTTAAAATTGTCTAAGTTCGTTGACCTTGTGACTTAAGATGGGTGCATTTTATTGTATGTTATAAACACTGTATATAAATATACCTCTATTCTACCTTTGTTCCACATGAATTTCCTGTCCCTTGAGGTTCAACTGTATGCTTCACCAAAATTGAATACTGCGTTGCAAATGACTTATAAATAAATGAAATTGAGGATTTGGTTTTTATCTATTTTTTTACATTTTTCAAATGGCAGTTTATTAAGAAAAAGAGAAGGGAAAGGAGATACCTGTGTAAAAACAGATGGGCAGTCTTGGGAAGAGAGTTGCCTAAATTAAGAATTTGAAGTCTAGGGCCTCCCTGGTGGCGCAGCGGTTGAGCGCTGGGTTGCGAAGCTGCACGCAGCCTCTGTGGCGCCGGTTGGATCCCCGGCTGCTCCCCGGCCACCAGAGGAGGGTCCCACATGGTGTGCAGACCTCTCCTGCCGCCCGCTGCTCCCCTCAGCAGTGTGCTTCGGTCCTTCTGCCTGCTCTGCTCCCCGCTCTGGCTCTGGTGAATTCTCTCACCCTCCTGTGCTTCTGACTGTACCCAGTGCTTGTATAAATAAATAAATAAATAAATCTTTAAAAAAAATTATTAAAAAAAAAAAAAGAATTTGAAGTCTCCAAGTATTAAAATAAATGAATAGCCCTAGCCATAGTGTATTGAAACTTCTTTGAAACCTAATGTTTTAGCTGAAAATAATTTCATCAACTTCACTTTCTCATTCTATAATAGCATGCATGTTTTCATATTTTAAAAATCTCTTAAATCTCTGTGTAAAACTGATGCAAGTAGAAAATAATATCGTTTTCATTCTACTGCTTTCCATATCCTCTAGCTTACTACTATTGCCTTTCACTCATAATGTCATATTCCAGTGTAAGAAGTTTCAGTTTAATCTGTTTGCAGTGACTTTTACAGAGAACAAGGTGGTGATGGGGTTTTGTAATCCAATAGTTTGTAAACATGAGAGCTCTCTTTTCCTCAGCACTAGTGGGTGGGGCTCCCTGTATCCCATGGTTGCATACCAGCTTGAATAAGTTATTATAAAGCATGTTCAGTATCATTCTGTTAAAATCATATTGACCTCAAAAAAAGTTCAGATGTCAATAATAAGGACATAAAATTAAGTCAAAATTATTTTAAGTAGATTGATGCTTGAAAATTGGTATTTCTTATTATTGGTAAGAATATGTACTTTGTTAGCAGAACACAAGTACCATCCTTACACAACCTCTCTAAAAGGCTGCTTGAATGACAGGTCTCAAAACTTTATTTTTTTCCCCAAGTTTCAGATACTAATCAGTATAAGCTGATTACAACACAGTACACCAACATGATCTCACATATTTAGAGAGGATGTGTCTCCTTATTAAGTGGAAAATTGTGGCTTCTGGAAGACCTTTATATTAAGCAGCAAAGTGAAATACTTCATTTAGAAATCTGGCCCTTTTTTCTTCAATTTGCTGTCAGCTGCATTTTCTGAATAGAACTTGTATTAGTCATTGGGGACCCAGTTTGTTCTAGGCTTCTGAGTTATTCTTTTTGTCCCAGAACAGTCTTCCATCTTAGTGTAGTGTTTGCAGGTAGCTTTTGTCATGCTACTTTTTTTTTTTTAAATGAGGCATGTTTTATTTATTTATTTGTTTGTTTGTTTGTTTTGTTTATACATGCACTGGGTACAGTCAGAAGCGCGGGAGGGTGAGAGAATTCACCAGAGCCAGAGTGGGGAGCAGAGCAGGCAGAAGGACCGAAGCACACTGCTGAGGGGAGCAGCGGGCGGCAGGAGAGGTCTGCGCGCCAGGTGGGACCCTCCTCTGGTGGCCGGGGAGCATCCGGGGATCGAACCAGCGCTGCAGAGGCCGTGGGCAGCTTCGCAACCCAGAGCTCAACCGCTGCACCACCGGGGAGGCCCTGTCATGCTACTTTTAAACAGCAGATCAGGCAGACCTCTCCTCTCTCACCCGCTGTTCCCCTCAGCAGTATATTTCAGTCAGTCTGCCTGTTCTGTTCCCTGCTCTGTCTCTGGTGAATTCTCTCACCCTCCCACACATCTGCTGTACGCCGGTTCTTGTATGCTTGAATAAATAAAAATCTTTTAAAAAAATAAACAGCAAATCAGCAAGGATTTATACATTTGAAGAATGCATTGAATATTAAGAGACCAAAGAAGATACATAGAAGGGGTGAGGCGCATTTTTTTCTATATTACCATTTGTTTATTTTTAAATTTAAGATTTTTTAATTTTTATTTCTAATTTATATATATTTTTTTCACATCATTCTATTTTGTACTGCGAATGCTTTTTCCTCTCGGGTGTAGTCCCTGTAAAATTCCCATCACCGATTTACCCATGCACTATCATCATGGTTCCTTGTGCTCTTCCCTCCCCCATTTTGATCCCTCTGCCTCCCCCCGCAGAGTGTCTCTGCTTTATAGTCATCTGTTAATTTTGTTTTTTAATTTATTATAATTAATTTTTATTTCCTGATCACTTATTTGGTTCCCCTACATTCCAGGGAGGTGAATTTATACTGGAGGACCTAAACAACAATATACAATAAACTAATGTGACAAAAGCATACTAAAGAACATTATGAAATAAAACTCAGAAAAACATCAGATTTGGGGCCTCCCTGGTGGCAGAGCGGTTGAGTGCTGGGTTGCGAAGCTGCGCGCAGCCTCTGCAGTGCCGGTTCAATCCCCGGCCGCCGGGCGAGGGTCCCACATGGTGCGCAGACCTCTCCTGCCACCCGCTGCTCCCCTCAGCAGTGTACTTCGTCAGTCTGCCTGTTGTGCTCTCCGCTCTGGCTCTAATGAATTCTCTCACCTGCCTGTGCTTCTGACTGTACCCAGTGCTTGTATAAATAAATAATTAATTGATTTTAAAAAAATCAGATTTGTGGTTATCAAAGATAGCGTTATTGAATAAAGGTGGTCAGAAGATTTAAATGTCTTAAGTACTGCAGATGTAATGTACAACATGCTGACTAATTCACTCTGCTCTGTGGTCTATTTGAAAATTCCAAAAGAGTAGCTCCTAAGAGTTATGGGAAAGAAAGAAAAGCTTTTTATTTTGTATTTATATGAGTTGATGGTTGTTAACTAAACTTACTATGGGTATCATATCATTATATACTTAATTCAAGTCTTTATGCTGTACGCCTTTAACTTACACAATGCTGCATTTCAAATTAAAAAAAAGGTGATTTTATAATTACGTATGTAGTTCCTATATTCATTTTATTTTAAGTTTGGAAATATGTTCACATTCACACATAAAATTTTTGGAAGTTTAAACAAAGTGGTACCAGACATGCAGACCCATTAGCTCTAAGGGGTAAAATTAGGGAATTCACTTTTTATTTTCTGGTCTTATTTTAAAAGAACATGGTGTTATATATAACAAGTTTTCTTAGAAAGACTTCTACATGAAAAATCAAATATTAGCTATCTAATTATTTTGCTGGGATTAAAGCATAGTAATTCAGTTAGGACCACTTCGTCCTTTGCAGAGTGAAATTCACATGTCTGAAGAAGTTATACAGGATATATTGGAACAAACAGAATCAGATCCAGCATTTCAGGCACTGTTTGATCTCTTTGACTATGGTAAGTAAGCCATTTCTTTCAAAGCACTTAGAAGAAAGTTTTTTCCAGTTTCTTTGGCAGCTTAGAGTAAAGCAACATTCCTTGGTGCATCTGAAAAAAGCTATTTACAGTAAAGCAAATGTTGCATATATATTGAAGAATGTTTTAGTGTTATTACTCAAAGGTTTAGCTGTAAAAATAGAGAAATGTTTTGTATTCATATACTTTTTTTGCCACTCAACATAAATGTTTTGTACTCTGAAATATATACAGTTTACTAAATTCAGTCGGGTAATACAACGGGAATGCAAAAACCTGGCTGTTGCCCACAGAATTACTGCCTCATGCAGTATTTCTCAAAATGTGATCTCCAGCAGTATTAGCATTATCTGAAAATACTTTAAAATTCTTTAACCTCTCATGTGACTAATATAGGCTAGAGTTTAAGAACTACTGACCTGGTGGAAAAATCTTCATACTTTTCGAGGTGCAATTTTAAAACATTCATAGGACAATAATGGAAATCACAGTTTAATGTTACATGACCACTGTCAAGCTGTGTAAGTGAATGGTTGTTTTTATTTTGGTTATTTAAGCAGTTGTTTCCTGTTCCCTTTTTAACAGGTAAAACAAAGAATAATAAAAATATATCACAAGGCATTTCTGACCAGCATATGGAAACTGATGCCAATGTTGTCTTAGTAGATGAAACAAATCTCTCAGTTAAAGATTCTTTTAAAACAGAAGAATCTGGTAAGAATTTGATTTTGTTAATATCATCAACCCAAATATTAGTCATAATACAATTTCAAAGACAAGAAATACTGTTGTTCAATTTGGAAGTTGTTCAGACTTACACATAGATCATTACTGTATTTGTAAATCTGATATAAAGGTGAATTTTTAGTACCCATTCTTCCATGATACAGTAGATTCCTGACTTGCACAGGGTGATATTAAGAGTGTCCAAGTCAACAAAAATCTGTCACATCTAATATAATTTTATTCATTTATTTTGAAGATTTATTTATGCATGCATGCAAGAACTGGGGTGTAGACCAGAGGTGTGGGTGGTGAGAGGATTCTCCAGAGACAGAGTAGGGAGCAGAACAGGAAGATCTACTGAAATACACTGCTGAGGGGAGAGCAGCAGTTGAGACAGGAGAGGTCTGCTGCATGCACCATGTGGGTTAGCTCCCTGACCAGGGATCCAGCTCATGCTGTGGTGCCTGGGGATGGCTTGATAGCACTGAGACTTCAACAAACCCTGTGCCACCAGGGAGGCCCTAATACAGTTTTACTGGATTACAAGTTTCAATCCCTGATATGTAAGGTAGTAATATTCATTGAGCCTGTTAAGCAGGTTTAACTGACCATTCAGCATCTGTATCTCATTTATTTGGAGGAAACTATATGCTGTGATGATAGTCTTGTCTTAATGGACTTAATGAGATTTTAAGTCCTGTGTACCTACCGTGCCTACTAAGTCAATTCTTTCTTTGTACTTCCCACGCTGTGTCAGTGTGACACATAATGACTATTTATTGAATGAGGGAAGACAATAAGCTCATCTTAGATCTTTTTTTTTTTTTAAAGATTTATTTATGCATACAAGAACTGGGATACAGGCCAGAGGTGTGGGGGGTGAGAGGATTCACCAGAGACAGAGTGGAGATTAGAACAGGCAGATTGACTGAAATGCATTGCTGAGGGGAGCAGTGGATGAGATAGGAGAGGTCTGTTGCTCCATGTCGGTTAGCTCCCTGGCCAGGGATGAAACTTGTGCTACAGTGGCAGCTGATAGCTTCATAGTGCTGACACTTAACCCCTTGCACCACCAGGGAGTCCCCCCTCATCTTATATCTTTTAAATTGGCCAAGGTATTTTATTGTATTTTCATTGTGGAATATTACATGCACAAAAGTACACAATAAGAATGTATCAGCTCATTGATTTACAATCATGGAAATACCCATGTAACCATTTCCCAAGCAAAAAAAAAAAACCCTGAAACACCACCAGCAAGACAAATTCCTGTTCATATGCTTTCCCAGTCTATTTCCTTCATCCTTGGCCCTCTTACTGCTAAACCATAGGCCTCTCTAGTACCACCTCTGTCCATTCTGTCTACAACACACTGTGCCAAAATATTCTTTTCTGCTCATCTGTTTATAAATGCCATTACCTCCTAGCCAAAAAAAAAATGGTTTCCAAATCTCACAGAATGTCTTCCCAAAACTACTTTTGGAGTATCTCATACTACATTTCTACTTTGAGGATCTGCCTGCACCCAAGCCTAATCCTCCATTTTTTCTGAGGCTGAATAATAATGTGATGTGTTTTCTCTCATTATATATTATATATGAAAGTGTGTGTTTCAGTCAAGCTCCGCTGCAGAAAATGAAACTTGAAATCCTATCTCCTCAGTTCTCCTTCAAGTCTCAATCCTTTTCCAGTTCCACTTAATTGAAACTGACTACCTCTAAACTGACGTAGGCTGGAAGTAATCTCCACTAATCTCCACCCTGTGATCGGGATTCAAATGTCCTATATGCCTAATATTATTTTCCCAGTGTCACATTAACAATTATTTGATAGTGGTTATTTTCTGGATTTTTATCCTTATGTTTTTCATATTGTTAATTTTACATGTTTTCTATCCTAAATTGCCTGTATACCCAGTTTATTAGTGCTATTGTCTTCTGAAATGACATTTTTTATTCCAACTACCACCTTTATTTTGTGAGATTTCATGTAATACTTCCTCTACAACACTTTCTCACATCCCCTTATTTTCCTATACTATTATAAATTTTACTATGTATTATTCTGACTTCCTGTTCTGTATCTGCTTCACTGACCTTTCCAAGGGCAAGAATTGAGTCATTACATTGGGGTACCCAATGTACCCCAGCACCATTCACATGATTAACTTCAGTAAATGTGTGTTAAGAGTTAAACAGTACACAGTAAGATCAAATGTTAATCATGCAAAATGTTTTTGGCCCCATTTCACCTTTAAGAATTTATCAGAAAGGGCCTCCCCGGTGGCGCAGTGGTTGAGTGCTGGGTTGCAAAGCTGCCCGCAGCCTCTGCAGCGCCAGTTCCATCCCCGGCTGCTCCCTGGCCACCGGTGGAGGGTCCCACATGGCGCACAGACCTCTCCTGCCGCCCGCTGCTCCCGTCAGCAGTGTGCTTCGGTCCTTCTGCCTGCTCTGCTCCCCGCTCTGGTGAATTCTCTCATTCTCCCGCGCTTCTGACTGTGCCCTGTGCTTGTATAAATAAATTAAATAAATAAATAAATCGAAAAAATATATATATCAGAAAAATAATAGAAATGGTAGAAGTTGAAAAGTCAACTCTTTGAAAAGCTGCAGTTTGGGGCCTCTCTGGTAGCGCAAGAGGTCAAGTCGCAGCACTATGAAGCTATCGGCAGCCACTGCAGCACAAGTTCAATCCCCAGTTAGGGAGGTAGCTTACTTGGTGCTGCAGACGTCTCCTGTCTCGCCTGCTGCTCCCCTCAGCAGTGTATTTCAGTCAATACACCTGTTCTATTCCCCACTCAGTCTCTCACCCCCCGCACCTCTGGCCTGTACCCCAGTTCTTTTTTTTTTAAGAGTTTAGCAGTTTTTTGTTTTTTTAAAAGATTTATTTATTTATTTATTTATACAAGCACTGGCTACAGTCAGAAGCGCGGGAGGGTGAGAGAATTCACCAGAGCCAGAGCGGGGAACAGAACAGACAGACGGACGAAATACACTGCTGAGCAGAGCAGTGGGCGGCAGGAGAGGTCTGTACACCATGTGGGTCCCGCGCTGGTGGCCGGGGATCGAACCGGCCCTGCAGAGGCTGTGGGCAGCTTCGCAGCCCAGCACTCAACTGCTGTGCCACCAGGGGAGGCCCAGTACCCCAGTTCTTACATGCATAGATAAATAGACCTTTAAACAAAAAAAAAATGCAGCTTTTATTTGGTGTCCTTTTTATCTTTGATAAATATGGGTGTTCTTTAACCTGTGTGCTTTTTCAGAATTTCATTGTGTCATCTATTTTCCCAGAATTTTGAAAAACAGGTTGGTAAAAACAGTTTTGTGCTTGTTAAAGAGATACCAGTAAAACTTGACTGTAGTTGTTTTGGTACTCAGAAAACAAGAGCTACAGTCTATGAGACTTCCACTTACTGATATGTCAGATTATTTTCTTGGCAAAATGTGTTTTGAGGTAAAGAATACTATCTCAGAATCTGTACATACTTACCATATCTTTCTGTCAACTTGATATTTTACAGATGCACGATCTGTTGAGCCCCCATTTTGTACATCCTACCAAAGTGAAGACTCAGCAAATGCTTTGAAGGATGGCACCAACCAGAATGATCTTAGACAGGAAGTCCGGGAACATTTTCCCCAAATAAGCCCTAGCATACAGAAAAAGGCCTTTAAAACAGTTGTACCTTCTCAACAAAAGTGTACCCTTGATATTACCTTTGAATCTGTGCCTAACTTGAATGACTTTAACCAAAGAGTAAATTCTAATGCTGAATGTAATCAGCATTGTGCTGAATTATACAGCAGTCAGGTGACCGCTGAAACTGAAATGGCTCTGGAAGTTGAAAACAATTCTTTGTGTCCAAGTGTGCCAAATGAGTCTCATTTACAGCCTCATCAATGTGATATACCAATAACTTCATTTGTTTCCCTTGGTGGTGAAACTAACAATGAAAACTTAATCCTCTCTGGGAAAACTTCTCAATTTTTATCCCATAATACTCCATTAACTGGGAAGCCAACTAGAAAAAGTCAATTTTGTGAAAGTTCTAAGGATACAGGAATACTTAAAACTAGTCTGCTTGGTTCCAAGTCACCAGATTCTAGTGAAATTCACCAGAGTAAAATTGAAATTAATAATGTATTACCAGTTGCATCACAACAGCTTTCAGATTGCCAAGGTAATTCTTCACTTCAGAGTAAAATATTACCAGTGTCTGTTGAAAGTTCATGTTTAAATATATCTGAACAAGTAGAAATTTGTGTTGGCGATTCATTATCTTCAATTAAACACCCATCTAATGATTCATCACCTATTGAATTAAATCATACAGACCAAGAAATTCTGCCCTCCAAGTCTGAGAAAGTTGTTTTGGAGTCACAAGAGCCTTCATCTTCTGTAAAAGAAGGTGGAGAAAGTATTTTTCTCTCTTTAGGTGAAAATGAAAACTGTAGGGAAGTTGCATTGATCCCTCCAGAAGGTAATCCTATAGAAGATAGACACACTCTTCCTTCTGAACCTGTGTGTTCTTCAATGGGAGATTCTCGCCCTGAGTCCCAAAATACTGGTAAATCTGCTGGTGACAACTCAAATGAGATAGATGCATCAAATATTGTGTCTCTGAAAATTATCATCAGTGATGATCCATTTGTTTCCTCGGATGCTGAACTTAATAGTGCTGTTTCTAGTATCAGCGAAGAAAACTTGCCAACTATAATTTTGTCTTCTGCTAAATCACCTGCAAAAAATGCAGAATTAGTTAAGTGCCTGTCTTCAGAAGAAACTGCAGGTGCCACCACATCTGCTGAAGGAATAGAGGATTCAGCTTCAGTGGAACAGAGCCTGCTAGGGCTCAAACCTGAAGACTCTGCAGTGAACGGCACTCAGAATGAGGACAGCATAGCTTTTTCAGCGAATGTTTCACCGTGTGTTTCAAAGGATGGAGGATACATACAGTTGATGCCAGCCACAAGCACAACTTTTGGCAATTCAAATAACATTCTAATAGCTACCTGTGTGACTGATCCAACAGCCTTGGGAACAACTGTAAGTCAGTCTAATGTTGTGGTGTTGCCTGGAAACTCTGCACCTATCACTGCTCAACCTCCACCACCTCAGTTACAGACACCACCCAGGGCAAACAGTGTATTTGCTGTCAACCAAGCTGTGTCACCCAGCTTTTCACAAGGTAACTTGAAGAACATAATGAACAGTTGGATACATAGGCTTACACCTGTGTATGTCCGGGTACAGATGTACACATGCACACACACATACTGACCCATGCCAAGGAGTCCCACTGTGGTGAGTGTTGGAGGCTTAGAAGAAAAGGAAAAGGACATACTGAAGTTTATTTTTCTGGCTTGTGATCTGATGTCTCGTGTAGGCAGTTATTGTCTCAGACAATAAATCACTAGCTAGAGAGTAGGAGAAAGGATTCTAAAATTTGTGATTATGATACTTCTTCAGCTTATTAATTCAGGGAGACCTTGACCTTTTTTAAAAATACTCTGGTAAGCTGTGGAATTCAGTGATTTAATTTTTCACTTTTCTCCTTCCACAATTACTTCCTAGTCCATGTGGTAAGCTACCACATACACACACAGACTGATTCCTCACGTGTATCTATACTAAAACCCAGTGTTGGGGGAAGTTTTTTTTTAATCCAAAAAGGACAAGTTTATTAGGGGAAAAAAAGGAAAGGAGAAAATGATGCAGGTGAACAGAAGGCACCTCTATTGTGGGAGATTTTTTTAAACAGCTTGCATGGTCTTAGTTTTCAAAGAATCTAATAACTATGTGCACTTTTTTTTTTTTTTTTTTAAATATTAAATTTTATTTTTATATTCCCCCATACAATTGCAAACGCCCCATTCTGACCCCAATCCTTCCCCTCCCGCCCCCCCACCCCCAAAAAGTGTCTCTGGTTCATAGTTTTTTGTTGATTTTGATTTTCACTTTCTTATATTCATTTTCCTGGTCCCTTATTTAAGTTTTCTAGATTCCTGCTATGAGTGAGACCATCCGGTATTTTTCTTTTTCTTTTTGGCTTATTTCGCTGAGCATGATCCCTTCCAGTGCCATCCATGATGCTGCACATTGCATGTGTTTATCTTTTTTGAATGCTGAGTAATATTCCATGGTATATATGTACCACATCTTCTTGATCCAGTCATCTATTTTTGGGCATTTGGGTTGTTTCCAAAGCTTAGCTATTGTAAACAGTGCTGCTATAAACATAGGAGTGCAGGTGCTCTTTGGAATTGATGTTTCTGTGTCCTTTGGGTAAATACCTAGGAGTGGAATTGCTGGATCATATGGAAGCTCTATGTTTAGTAGGTCCAGAAATCGCCACACAGCTCTCCATAGTGGTTGGACCAGTTTGCACTCCCACCAACAGTGCACAAGAGTTCCTTTTTCTCCACATCCTCGCCAACATTTGTTGTTGCTAGTTTTTTTAATATGTGCCATTCTCACTGGTGTGAGATGGTATCTCATGGTAGTTTTGATTTGCATTTCCCTGATTACAAGTGATGTTGAACATTTTTTCATATGTCTGTTGGCCATTTGCATTTCCTCTTCAGAGAAGTTTCTTTTTAGCTCTTCTGCCCATTTTTTGACTGGATTATTTTCTTTGTTGTTGCTGAGTCTCATCAGCTCTTTGCAGATTTTTGTGATCAGTCCTTTATCATTAGTGTTGGGTGCAAAAATGTTCTCCCAGTTGGTGGGGTTTCTCTTTGTTTTTGTTATTGTCTCTTTTGCTGTGCAAAAGCTCTTTAATTTGATGTAGTCCCAGCTGTTTATCTTTCTCTTCACTATCACTGCTTTGGGTGATGTGTCTGTAAAGATGTCTTTGATGTGCAAATCCCGTAGTGTTTCGCCTATATTTCCTTCTATGTATTTTATGGTTTCAGGTCTTATGTCTAGTTCTTTAATCCATTTTGAGTTGATTTTTGTGTATGGTGTGAGGTAGTGGTCAAGCTTCATTCTTTTGCATGTAGCGACCCAGTTTTCCCAGCACCATTTATTGAACAAACTTTCTTTGCTCCAATGCATAGTCTTTGCTCCTTTGTCAAAGATTAGTTGACCATAAATCTGTGGTTTATTTCTGGATTTTCTATTCGATTCCATTGGTCTGTATGTCTGTTCTTGTTCCAATACCATGCAGTTTTGATGATTATGGCTTTGTAGTATAGTTTGAAGTCTGGGAGTGTGATGCCTCCATTTCCTTCTTTTTTTTTCAGTAGAGCTTTGGCTATTCGGGGTTTTTGGTGATTCCATATGAAATTCATCAATAATTGTTCTATTTCTTTGAAGAATGCCATTGAGATTTTGATTGGAATAGCATTGAATCTGTATATTGCTTTTGGTAGGATGGCCATTTTAATAATGTTTATTCTTCCAATCCATGAGCAGGGATGTCTTTCCATTTCTTTGTGTCTTCTTCTATTTCTTTAACAGTGTTTTATAGTTTTCTTTGTATAGGTCCTTTACCTCTTTTGTTAGATTTATTCCCAAATATTTGATTTTTTTTGTTTCGATAATAAAAGGGGTGGTTTTTTTGATTTCTTCTTCTTCAGATTTATTGTTTGTGTATAGGAAGGCTACTGACTTTTGCGTGTTGATTTTGTATCCTGCCACTTTACTGAATTGATTGATGAGTTGAATTAGTTTTTCTGTGGCGATTTTGGGGTTCTCTATGTATATTATCATATCATCTGCAAATAGTGATAGTTTGACTTCTTCTTTTCCTATTTGGATTCCTTGGATGTCTTTCTCTTGTCTTATTGCTCTGGCTAGGACTTCCAGTATTATATTGAAAAGCAGTGGTGAGAGTGGACATCCTTGTCTTGTTCCAGATCTTAATGGAATTGCTTTCAGCTTTTCACCATTGAGAATGATACTGGCTGTTGGCTTGTCATAGATGGTCTTTATGATGTTGAGGTATGTTCCTTGTATCCCAAGAATTTCAAGGGCTTTTATCATGAATGGGTGTTGCACTTTGTCGAAAGCTTTCTCAGCATCTATTGATATTATCATATGGTTTTTATATTTCTTTTTGTTGATGTGTTGGATAACGTTGATTGATTTTCGGATGTTAAACCATCCTTGTGCCCCTGGAATGAATCCAACTTGGTCGTGGTGAATTATCTTATGGATACATTGTTGGATTCTGATAGCTAAAATTTTATTGAGGATTTTTGCATCAGTGTTCATTAGGGAGATTGGCCTATAGTTTTCCTTTTTTGTGTTGTCCTTATTCGGTTTTGGTATTAGTGTAATATTGGCTTCATAGAACGTGTTTGGTATTGTCCCTCCTTCTCAATTTTTTGGAAGAGTTTGTGAAGGATAGGCACTAATTCGTCTCTGAATGTTTGGTAGAATTCATTTGTAAATCCATCAGGTCCTGGGCTTTTGTTTTTGGGAGGTTTTTAATTACCATTTCAATTTCGCTGCTTGTAATTGGTCTGTTTAGGTGTTCTATTTCTTCTTTATCTAGCTTTGGGTGATTGTAGAGTTGTAGGAATTTGTCCATCTCCTCTAGATGTTGAATTTGTTTCCATATAACTGTTCATAGTAGTTACTGATTATTCTTTTGATTTCTGCTGTGTCCGTTGTGATTTCTCCTCTTTCATTTATGATTCTGTGTATTTGTGCTTTCTCCCTTTTTTCCTTTGTGAGCCTGGCTAGGGTTTGTCTATTTTATTTATTTTTTCAAAGAACCAGCTCTTGTTTCATTGATCTTTTGGATTGTTTTTTTAGTTTCAATTTCATTTATTTCTGCTTTGGTTTTTATTATTTCTTTTCTTCTACTGGTTCTGGGGTTTTTTTGTTGTTCTTTTTCTAGATCTTTGAGCTTCGAGATTAGGTTGTTTCTTTGAGTTCTTTCTTGTTTTTTGATGTGAGCTTCTATTGCTATATATTTTCCTCTTATTACTGCTTTTGCTGCATCCCATACATTTCGGATATTGGTGTCCTCCTTGTCATTCAATTCAAAGAATTTTTTAATTTCTTCTTTGATCTCCTCATTAGTCCAGTGGTCTTCCAGTAGTGTGGCTTTTAATCTCCATGAGGTAGGATAGTTCCTTGCCTTCTTTTTATGATTTATTTCTAGTTTGATGCCTTCGTGGTCAGAAAAGATGGTTGGTATGATTTCAATCTTGGTGTATCTGTTGATGTTTGTCTTGTGCCCCAGTATGTGATCGATCCTGGAGAATGATCCGTGTGCGCTTGAGAAAAATGTGTACTCCGTTTTTTTTGGGTTTAGTGTTCTATAGATGTCTGTTAAGCCCAAATGCTCTAGGTCCTTATTTAGAGCTTTAGTTTCTTTACTTATTTTTTGTCTTGTTGATCTATCCATTGTTGATAGTGGTGTGTTGAAGTCTCCCACTACATATGTGTTTTCTCTGATGTCTGTTTTCAGAGAGGACAACAGTTGTCTGATATATTTTGGTGCTCTTTCGTTTGGTGAGTATATGTTAATGAGTGTTATTTCTTCTTGAAGTATTGTCCCCTTAATCATAATGTAGTGACCATTGGGTCTCTTTTATTTTTTGAGTTTGAAGTCTGTTTTATCTGATATAAGTATAGCTGTTCCTGCTTTCTTTTTTGGCCCATTTGCTTGTAGGATTGTTTTCCATCCTTTGACTTTGAGCCTATTTTTATCTTTTGTAGCTAAATGTGTTTCCTGGAGACAGCAAAAGGTTGGGTTTTGTTTCTTAATCCAGGCTGCAACTCTGTGTCTTTTTATTGAAGAGTTTAGTCCATTTACATTTAGAGTTAATATTGATATGTTAGTATCTGTATTTGCCATTATGTTTGTCTTTCCTTTGATTTTATTTATTTATTCTTTTAATAACTTTTTTTTTTTTTTTTTGGTCTTCTTTCGTTGTTATTCGTCCCTCTGAGGTTCTGGCTTTAGGATTCCTTGTAGTATTTTTTGGAGTGGGGTTTAGTTGCAATGAAATTCCGGAGTTTCTCTTTGTTGGGAAGGTCCATATTCTTTCTTCATGGAGGAAAGAGAGCTTTGCGGGATAGAGTATTCTTGGTTGGCATCTGTTTTCTTGGAGTCTGTTGACTATGTCCTCCACTCTCTCCTTGCCCGTAGTGTTTCTTCAGAGAAGTCTGATGTCAGCCTGATTGGTTTTCCTTTGAATGTTATCTGTTTCTTCCCTCTTGTCAGCTTCATATTTTTTCCTTGTCCTGGATCTCTGGGAGCTTACTATTATGTGTCTTGCTGTGTTTTTCCTTTCGTCGTGGAAGTTTGGTGTTCTTCTTGCTTCTTGTATATCAATTTTCATCTCCTTCTTCTCATTTGGGAAGTTCTCTTCAATTATATCATGAATATTCTCTGTTCTACATCTCTCTCCTCTCCTTCTGGAATTCCTATAACTCTTATATTTCCTTTCCTCATGGAGTCAGATAGTTCCCGAAGTCTTTCTTCATTCTTTTTCCTTCGTACTTCTCTTTCCTTTTCTGTTTTGGTTCTTTTTATTTCTGTGTCTTCAAGATTACTTATTCGTTCTTCCATTTCATCTATTCTGCTTTCATTGCTTTTCCCAGAGTTCTTTAGTTCCTCCATTAATTCTTTGATCTCCTGCATTTCTCTTACTTCCCTCTTTAGGGACTCAATTTCCTTCTTCTGATCTATCACTTTTTTAATCATGGCAATTTTAAATTCTCTTTCTGGAAGGCTCAGAAGTTCTTCCAAGTTGCTGTCGTTGCAATCTGGGGAGTGGTTTTCTTTTTGTGGTGTGCTTCTTTCCTGAGGAGTTTTTTAGGTTGCGTGTGGTTCTTCTACTCCTACTGTCTGTTTTCTAATTTGTCGTATGCGTTGGGACACTGTGTTGCTCGACTGACTGACATCTTGGGTGAACTTCTCCGCTCCCCTCTGGCTCTTCCAGGAGCCATCTCTGTCTTCTGGGGGAGCTTTCTGCTGGTTTTAGGCAGTTTTTACTGAAGAAATGTCCCTGTTCTCAAATGGCGAAGCGGGATGCAGTCCCTGCGCCTCCGTTTCAGGCACACTCTTCTGCGCACCCGGTCTGCCCCGGACGTGGTGCCTGCTCCCTCTGTGGGCTCAGACTGCTGTCGGAAGGGGCCTGGCGTGGAATAACTTCCCGGCTGGCCACTGGGTCCTCCAGAAACCTTCTGCCCTTTTCAAGCAGTCTTAAGAAATGTCCTGTTTTATAGGGTGTTAGTGACTTTTTTCCTGGTCGCTAGGTGGCGCCAGAGATCTCTCCTATTGTCCTTGGGGGGCTGTTTTTCGCCTCCCCCACCCCGTGGACAGAGAACAGAGCGGGAATGGTAGGGTACACCTCAACAGCTTTGGGGTGCTGTGTCTGCTTGTGCCCCACCGTCGTGGAGAACCCACGCCCCGAATTTTCGTGCCCCGGGTCTCAGTTCAAAGCCCTCAGTTCCAGGACGCGGGCTGTAGCCCAGTTCAGTCGCGCGGGAATGCGCCTTTTGCACCCCGCTTCCGTGCCTGGGCGCCTGGTTCCTGCTCACTCAGGGAGGGACCTTCACCTCAGTGAGGACCTCCGTGCGTCTCCCCGCAAGCCTAGGTCGTCTCCCGCAAGCCTAGGTCGCAGGCGCGGGACCTGGGCAGCCGCAATCCAGGTCTGCACTTGCTTTTCAAGCTCCCGAGCGCGCCGCGTTTCCGCGCCAGCTTACCGGCAGCCCGGGCTGTGTGCGCGTCTCCCGGGGTCTTTGTTCTTCTCTAATTATGTGCACTTTTTTTAAGATTTATTTATGCGTAGAAGAACTGGGGTTTAGCTGCTGCGGGGTGAGAGGATTCACCAGAAATGGAGTGGGGAGCAGAACAGGCTGATCTACTGAAATACACTGCTGAGGGGAACAGCAGGCAAGACAGGAGAGGTCCACTGCACCATATATGGATTAGCTCCCTGACCAGGGATCAAACTCCGGCCATAGCTGTGATAGCACTGAGTCTTAACCCCTGTGCCACCAGGGAACCCTTACATGGAGAGATTAAAACAAAATTTGAATTTCTCTGTCCATAAAACCCTTTGAAATTCCTTACTGTCTTTAATATCCAGAATTGACCCCGTCCTTAGAACTCTTGTTTATAGAGGCACTTGTTGCATTTATTACATGTCATTTTATATTTAGTTAGTGGTTGGCATGACCATCCTGCTCACCTTGATAAGATACTCCTTTAGGAGAGAACTTGTGGCATGTTTTATCTACAGTTCCTTCTATATTGGTTCCAGGCTCCTTTTCTTTTTTACATTATAGGCAGACAATAATTAAATATCAGAAATTGAGCATTGAGCCTGATGGATCAGTTCGAAGTGCTATTTAAAATAAAAGAAACTGGTCAGAATTTGGTAGAGAATGTGGGTTTGAGCTACAGCTTAGAGAAAGAGGAAGGACTTTGGAATATATGATATCTCTGAAGGTATTTGAGAGGCTGAAGAAGGTGTGCACGGGAGTGAGGAAATCAACCCCACAAAAGTAGTGAGTGAATATTAGGAATAGATTGATTTATAGTGCAAGCAAGGCTCAGTTATAAATCTGTACTACCATATAATAGAACTATACTATTCCTAATAGAAGAGTGTCCAACCTTTGCCATAGACTATATTGTTGACATCTAAGGACTATGTAAGTCTAGTTTTAGTTCATTGTGCATATATCTGGACCTTTTTGACAGTACCATTGAGAGAATAGTTGGAGTTATGAGCAGGTCTTGGGTTGTTAACATTTAGTTGGGATCCTGTTTTTGTAATATGTAAGATTCAGACCTCACCAGTTCTCTAATGAGTTTCATGATGCTTTGTAGAGGAGTCAGAATATAACTGTAATGATATGATTTCTTGGCTATAGAGTGTTACGCTTATGATAATTATCTTGATTAAACGCCATAAGGCTACTTGAATGTTCACATTGACTATGATTAGTCTTGATGTTCGTAAATTAATTTTTTAAAGAAGAACAGATTATAAAGAAAGAATGTTACAGAATTTCACAATAATTACTTTGGTGTCTAGTGTTTAGGAGAGAAAATCTTACTGAGAAATTTTTTTTAGGATCTGCCATCATAATCGCTTCTCCAGTCCAGCCTGTACTCCAGGGAATGGTGGGAATGATCCCTGTGTCTGTGGTTGGACAGAATGGAAATACCTTTTCTGCTCCTCTCGACAGGTAAAATTTATGCATTCAAAACAGCATTGATGCTTTTCAAACGTAGTGTAGCTAATGACATCTTCTCTTCTAGGTCCTTCATATGCCTTTGGCAGCACCTGTATGCAGTAGAAGTATCTCTCAATTCCCCATCCCTCCAAAATCTCAGAAGACTCAGGGAGTAAGAAGCAAGCCTTGTACAGGTACATTTTAAGTTCATCAGTGTCACTTTATGTTGTGTGTTCATTTGTTTTTGGCAGCACCACAGCCTTTCTTTTTTAATAACTAATCTGTTCATTGCAGTAATTAAAAAGATAAATGGAACAAAATAGTTTAGAAAAAGATGGTATCTGCAGGGCCTTGTGTGTGGGGAAGTAACATCAAAAGTAAGAGGGGGCAGGGTGGATTGTTTGATAAGATTTTTTAGTTGTTTTATATAATCTGAAAAATACTGGATGCCTCCTTTTTGTTACTATTTCTTATTATTTTGTTACTATTATTAAACCTATACAGTTCATAATAGTGTTTAAGACACTTTCATATATCCATTAAATGTCTTTCAGTGAGATCTATTGTCACCTTTCACCTGAACTTTCAGTTGGTTTCTGGATTCACCTCTTCCCCATACAGGCTCAATTCTGCAATGCCTGTTTTTCCATGTTATTCTGCCATACCCAAATGCTACCTTCAGCACTGAATCTGTCCAACCACCTCTGCCTTTGACCTAGGCTTCTTAACATTGTTTGGAAGTGATGACATTCAATACCATTTAAAAATTTCTTACCCTTATTGCCATTTTACAATCATTTTTAAAATGTCTTCCTGTTCTTTTTCTCTCCCATTTTCCCTTCACACTGCTCTGGAATTCACAGCTACTCTCAAAAACTACTTTCTTTTTCCCTTCTTTCTTAGAGGAATGATTTTGTTATTCTTAAAGTTAATATCATCTACCTATGATCTAGATTCTGTCTTCTAGATCTTTAGCTTTTCTTCTTTTACTCCTAACTGTACATACAGATTCTTGGGTTTGACCACCTACCAACCCTTATTTCCCATTCCTCCTTTATCCACATCATTGTCTTTTCTATCTCCATTAATATCACCATATACATTGGGTTTTTTCTAATCTTTTTCTTAACACACAAGGCCCTCATTATCTCGTCTTTGCTTTCCTTTCTAACTTCGTATCTTCGTACCCCCTCACATAATCTCTGAAGTCCATGGAAATTGAAATATGGCTATTAAAACTCCAGTGCACAGTCTCCGAATCAAGTAGATTTGCAAATTCACAGTTAAATGGGCAAAATTTTCAAGTAGGACTAAAGTAACTATGTATGAATCTAAGTAGTACCTTTAAGTGCTGCATTGAGCATTGTAATGTATAAATCCAAAGACTGAAGTTGGGCCTCCCCGGTGGCACAGCAGTTGAGCGCTGGGTTGCAAAGCTGCCCGCGGCCTCTGCGGCACCGGTTCAATCCCCGGCTGCTCCCCGGCCACCAGAGGAGGGTCCCACATGGCGCGCAGACCTCTCCTGCCACCCACTGCTCCCCTCAGCAGTGTACTTTGGTCCTTCTGCCTGCTCTGCTCCCCGCTCTGGCTCTGGTGAATTCTTTCACCCTCCCGTGCTTCTGACTACCCAGTGCGTGTATAAACAGAAGAAACAAACAAATAAATAAATAAATAACATGCCTCTATTTAAAAAAAAAAAAAGACAGAAGTTGAATCATGTCATTGCTCCATATTTTTATTTTGAAATCTCTATAAAAATGAATGAGTGACTATCTTGTATAATTACAAGGCTGCTTTTTAAAGACTAGTTTGTGAACATTTCATTTGTATATTAGCTATCATTTTTAAAGTTTTCTCTTATTAAAAAAAAAATAAATAAATGAGGGCCTCCATGGTGGTGCAGGGGTTAAAGACAGCACTGTGAGGCTGCTGCCAGCCACTGCAACATGAGTTGGATCCCCGGCCAGGGAGCCAACACACATGGCACAGCAGACCTCTCCTGTCTCACCCGCTACTCCCCTCAGCAGTGTATTTCAGTACATCTGAGTGTTCTGCTCCCCACTCTGTCTCTGGTGAAGCCTCTCCCCCCCACACACACCTCGGCCTACACCCCAGTTCTTATATGCATAAATAAATCTTTAAAAAAATTTAGGTGTTTTCTTGTAATACCGTGGCCTATCATATGCATTTTCAAGCAAGTATATTCTCTTAGGAATGTTTTGTTTTCCTTTTCTAATTAATCCATTTATAATTTCAGGAAAACAGGTAAATAATTTGGTGGATTCGTCGAGTCATTTAGTTGGATGCTCTGCCCAAAGGTGAGAAGGAAAGTTCTTAACAGATTCTTTGAATGGCCAGAGAAAAAACGGGATTTTTTATGTTGCTAAATTTTTTTCTTTTTTTCTTTTCTTTTCTTTTCTTTTTTTTTTTTCTAATTGGTAGAGTTGAAGTTTCTGACAAGAAGTTGACCACAGATCTTGGGAAAAAATTGGAAGAAACCACCGTTCCCTTGTCAGCAGAGAATGTAGTTCCAACTAGCAAGCCATTTGAAAGCCACAGGCGTGTACTTTGTTTTGATAGCACTGCTTCTCCTGTGGCAAATACACAGGGGCCAAACCATAGGGTGGGGTCCCACAACAAAGAGAAGAATGACGTTTTACTTCCTAATCTTGACTTACCCCTTTCGTCCTCCACCTTAAAACCCCCTTCTCATAATGCTCTCAAAAGAGAGAAACCTCCTGTGCCTAAGATTTTATCTAAATCAGAAACTGCCATTAGTAGACATACCACCATAAAAGAAACTCAGTCAGAAAAGAAAGTTTCACCAACAGAAGCTGTACTTGAATCTTTCCATAAAGCAACAGCTAACAAGGAGAATGAATTATGCAGTGATATGGAAAGAAAAAATCCAGAAACCTCAAAACTGTCTAATGGACAGCAAAATGGGGGTTTAAGAAATGAGAAAACTATAACTTCACTGCAAGAACTAACCAAAAAACAAGGCACAGCCTCAAATGGTAAAAATGTCACTTCAGTGGGTCCAACTGTGAAGGATCTGAAACAAGAACAGACCAAATCTGCCAATTCTTTGATGAGCCCCCTAACCAAACATCCTTCAGAAATGTTACAAGATGTTCAGTGGCATAGTCCAGTCAGTAGGCTCCCTGATAGCGCTGACTTACCTGTTCCCCGGACACCTGGCTCAGGGGCAGGGGAAAAGCATAAGGAAGAACCTGCTGATGGTATCAAGGTCCCCTCCAGCAGGCGTTTCGGTGAGGACAGTAGCGTGCCCAAAGTGATGGTCCCCCCTGTCACTCCAGACTTGCCTGCCTGCAGCCCCGCCAGTGAGACTGGGAGTGAGAACAGTGTAAACATGGCTGCCCACACACTGATGATTCTCTCTAGAGCAGCCATCTCAAGAACTGCTTCTACTCCTCTGAAAGACAACACGCAGCAGTTCAGGGCCTCTTCAAGGAGCACAACAAAAAAGCGGAAAATTGAGGAATTAGATGAGCGGGAGCGCAGCCGTACTTCTGGTAAAAATCTTGCAAATTCATCAATACCAATGAAGAAGAAGAAAATTAAGGCAAGTTTGAACATCTTAATTTCAAAACCATACCTCTGCCTTTCTTTCACTTGCTCAGATTAGCGACCTCAGCATTTTTTCCCCACAGCTATCTACCCAAACTTAATCAAGACAGCATTGAGTTTTGACTGAGAAAATACAGCCTATATAGCAGTGTTTCTCAGCCAGTGTGGTACTCGGTGTGTCTTGGTGGAACCGCATTTTCAGAACGATTACTAAGACATTTATTTTTAAACATATTCCTTTGGGAAGGAGGTTTTTGTTACTGTCATGATAGGACCTTAGTACTTTGGGGAGAATGACATAAGCATGGAAAGCCATTGTGTGTGGAATAACCAAGTAGAAGCCTTCTTTGCAACTCCTCCTACCTCTAGGGATTTTTTCACATGACCTGCCATCTCTTCCATAAGCCTTTACAGAAGTTGGCATGTTAAAGCAATATAAAATTTAAGTTTACTTGTTTCCTCTTTAACACTGCTTATCTATAGAAAGGCAATGCAGGCATAGTATTGCTACATGAAACATGAAACTTTTCTCCTAAAGCCCTTTAGCCAATTAGTAAGTGAATTGAATAGGAAGAAAGGTGTTTACAGTGTCATTGAGGAAATAGATTATGAGGGGAAAAAATATTGACTTTATAGCCAAGTAAGCCAGGGTTTGATTCCTGATCACTTGCTTATTGGTTCCGTGACCACAAGTAAACCTGTAGCTTAGTCTCAGCTGCTTTGTTTGACCTCAAGTTACCCATTTTACCTTATTACATGTACTGTATTATCAAGTGTTTAGAACTTGAGAAAGTACCTGTCACTCTGAAAATCTTACTAAATTTTTAAGGTTTGTGGTTTGGCAATAATGGCTACCTTATAGAAATGGCTACCTTGTCTCATTCAGTTTTCACACACTCTGGATTTATGTAATATATTTTGCCCTAAACTAATGTTGAAATATCAAAGCACATTTTAGTAACCTTAGATTTATAAAATTTGTACTTCTCTATGTAACTGAAATTCTAATGAAATAAAAATGTTGGCAAAGATATCAGTATATGTAAGAACCTGATGAAAGGTTCTGAGTGACTGAATAGGAAAGTTTTGGCCTTGAATTGAATTCACAATGTTAACTTAGGCTTATTTTTTCTTTTTTTTTTTTTTTTTTTTTTTTTTTTTGACAGAAAAAGAAGCTACCCAGTTCATTTCCAGCTGGAATGGATGTGGACAAATTTTTGTTATCATTACATTATGATGAGTAAATATGAACGTATTAGAATAATAGGTGTAAAACTCTTATCCCTTAAGCTGTGAGTGTAGGGAATGAGATATTGACAGACTCTGAAAGCATGACCTGCACTTTCCTTGTACTGAAATTTCACTTTATATCTAAATCATGCTGTTTCTGAAGCAGCTTCCTACTTGTAAATAGATTTAACTGGTATATTTTTTATTTTGAAAAAAATTTGCAGAAATGTAAGTAAAGCCAATCTGCAAAACTGTATAGCTTTGACAATTGCATATGTAAATGTTGTATAAATCTTATTGAAATAGAGCTTAGATCAACCTAATATTCTTACACTGTGTTTTTTGACTTATGATCCCTCATTCTGAGGCTTATTCATCTGAAATAGTTTCTCACTTTTGGGGGGAAAATGCTTTTCCTTGTAGATTGCTTTCAGTAACTGTCCAACTAGACACTGAAAGACATAGCCACTAAGTAATACAAAATGATAACTACTTCACCTGGTAGTGATCAGAAAATAAGTGTTTGGAGTTTTTCACCCCTTCTTATAATTGCAGTAAAGAATATATTTCTGGACTTTACACCTTAATTGTTTCTTCTGGTCATTCTGGACTTCTCTTTTAAAATGGGAATTTTGTAAACCATTTGCGCGTCCTGATCCTTTGTTTATAACTTTTAAGGTCTTTTACAGAACTAAGTCTCGACTATTGAGCCATATAAAATTTGGTTATGTAGTTGGAATTTCTTGGTATGTATATTATTTTCCCCTGAATACTGGGGATCTAAAGAATTGCACTAATTCATAAACCTCTTTACATAGTAGTGACCAATGCACATTTAATTTAAATCTTGTATTCTATATTAAAGTGTGTGTGAAGGATTATCTTCTGGTATTATTTTAGAAAGCCATGTCCATCATAAGATGTAAAAAGAGGAATCATAGTTTTATATTTTAATTTAGTTTCTTCTAAGTGGGCTGTTAAATGACTGTATCTGTATAGCACATTGTCTTTGAGCCCCTCAAAGTGTCATAAAGAATTATTCTCAAAAAAGTCCTTAAGGAGAAAGAGGTGCCTTTTCTGTATTAAACATAAACATCAGTCAAGTTGAAGAATTGGCTTAAACTTTTAAATGAGAACAGAAATTATGCAGGTTCCCCCTGCTATCCAAAAGTAGGACATTCCTATTTGGTATGATCTGGTAGGTTATTTTAGGAGTCTGAGAACACTGAAAAGGTTTTCCATATAAATGGTAAAAGTATTCCTAGACCCAAAAAATAACCTGCCGAAACATACCAAATCAGAACATTGTGCTTTCAGATTGCGGGGGAAACCTGTAATTTGTATGTGACCAATTGTGCCTAGATATTAAAGTATGTTCTTTTAAGTGTTTTCTGTTTGGTTTCATATCAATATATTAAAGTTTTTTCTACAGTTGTGTATATTTTCCTCAACCTTTTTTTGTCCTAGGCTTTAAAAAAAAAAAAAATCTTACTCATCTTACTCTAACACAGCATTTTTCAATGTAGAAATCACATCTAAGGCTGACCCTTACTGCAGAAATTTGTGTTGTAAAAATTTTTTATGATGTGGCAGTGGTCTGTTTCTAAAGAACTAAATATACAATTGTTTATTTAACTCAACTTGATACTGTACCACAGTTAGGTTTAAATAAATATTTTCCTTCAAAAGTTATTTTATATTGTTATTTTATATTTAGATATTTTGATAAATTTCTTTGCAAGGCAAGTCTTTTTTCAGAATCACATGTTGAAAATTACATTTTCTTCAATATATGTTTATATGTCCTGAGTACTACGAATTCATGTGCATATTAAAACACATTCACTCTGAGATTGTTAGTTCACTAAGAGCCACTAGATATTGTCAAAAGGAAATATATGTATTTGTAACTTTCTTTCATTTTCAAGAGCAAAACATTAAGCCCCGTTTTATCTTGGAAGTACAGATGTCATGGACTTAATGATTGTAGTGGTGTCCCTGGTAACCTGTTTTAACAGTCAAGTGCCCCGGTTGACTACATTTCAGTGTTCATATATACTACATGCTATGTGTGGCTACTTTTGTAACTACAGGTAAAGATATACTCTTTTAGGCATTATTTAGTGATTAATGTGGTTGGTGTATGCCAGACCTGACAAGTCCTGTATTTAAAATACTTGATTATTTGAACCTTGAATATTATTAGAACCTAGTAGTACTTTGAAATTGCACATGAAGCGAAGCATCCATCAGCAGTCACCCAAAGATGAAGGTCATGACTTTCACAGAGCCCACAATTTGAGCTTTGATGAGGAATAATTTCAAAATAATTCATTTCTCCAGCCACCATCTTTCAGGATCAGGCCCAACTTCTTGAGATTATGTATCAGTTTTAACTTTATTATTATACTTCCTGTCAATGGACTTTTTATATACATTAACATTTTGGCATTCTTTGCTAGTTGTTTTTTTCCCTCCTATTTTGTCTGCATAGTTAAACTGTAAGTATAAATTCTTAATGCCTTTTTTCAAAAATGAACAACAATGTAAGAAGATAAAGTTTAATAACAAAAATTAAGTGTAAGATCCTAATACCTGGTATGAAGTGAGAAAGTAGGTTTTTTCCCCTAAATATTTAACCACTTGACTCAGCATATTTTGCTGATAGACTTACTCTTCCCCTACCCATTGACTTAGTGTCTCTATTCTGTGCAAATTCGATATTTTGTTCAAAATTCTAAAATCAGAAAAGATTATGACAGCCCATTCCTCTCCTAAGTTTAACATGAAGACTCATTTCATAGCAAACCTGACCTGATTGGACATGAGACGGAGTCATTAAGTATGAATATTCCCATTTTGTTGTAAAAATAGTAATGTGCTCAGTTGGTGTGCTGCGTCAGATTCAGGTGAAGGTATGTGATACATACTTGGTATCAATTGTGGGGGTCCTAAATATTCTGAATTATGAAACCCAGCTAACTATAAAGATGGAAGACGAAACATTTTGGATTTACAATGTATTTATACATATATACATGGACAGTATATACTACAGTCAATGTGCAAATTATTTTGTGCCACTGATTAAATAATTACAGCTCTGTGTGTGTTAAAATTCAAGTATTCACTACCTTTTAATTTTAGAATCACTTGTTTCAAATTAGAATTCTTTTGTGAAACTCATTTGAACTATTAATACTGTAACTTACACTGAAAGAAACTAATGGTAATGATAATATGGTTTGTATCACTAGCTTTGTAGCTTTCCATCTCAAATTTCTCGCTAAACTGGATATTTTGTTTTTGCTATTTTTAGAAGACATTGTTCTATTGTTTTTTAGTGAAATTTTTGTGAAAGGATACATATAAAAAGTTTAGATTCAGGCCTCCCTGGTGGCCTAGGGAATAAGTCTCAACACTATCACCCCTGCAGCCTGAGTTCAATCCTCAGCCAGGGAGTTAACCCACATATGGCACAGCATATGTTTCAACCACTGTGCCCGCTGCTCCCTTTTGCAGTATATTTCAGTAGATCTGCCTATTCTGCCCCCCATTCTGTCTCCAGTGAATCGTCTCAATACCCGTACTTCTGGCCGACCCTCCAGATCTTCTACAAAATATTTTTTTAAAAGGTCAGACTACTGGGCCTCCCATGGTGGTGCAGTGGTTGAGCACTGGGCTGCGAAGCTGCCCGCAGCCTCTGCAGCGCCGGTTCAATCCCCAGCCCCCGGAGAGGGTCCCACATGGCGCAACAGACCTTTCCTACCGCCCGCTGCTCCCCTCAGCAGTGTATTTCGTCAGTCTGCCTGCTCTGCCCTCCGCTCTGACTCTGGTGAATTCTCTTGCCCTCCTGCGCTTCTGACTGTACCCAGTGCTTGTATAAATAAATCTTAAAAAAAAAAAAGGTCAGACTATTGAGTACATCCAGTTAAATGAATTTTCTAAAAGTACTACATCCACTTAAAACTAGATGCCAGCAGGACCCTAGGATCCCATTGTATGTCATTCCAGTAACTTCTAGCCCCAAGAGCAATTAACAATTCTGACTTACAGCACCATAATTTCAGCTTTAAAAACTTTGTGTAATAGCCTTGTCTATTCATATGACTTCTTTTGCTCAACAATGCAAGATACACTCCTGTTGTGTGTGATTCAAGTGTCATCCTCCATGCTGTGTAGTTTCATGTTGTGTCTGCACACATTTTCTTATGCCATGGTTAATCTGTTTTATGGTTGGTGAACATTTCTTTCCAGACTGAGACTCTTATGAATAGGACTGTTGTGAATATTCTTCTGCATGTGTCCTAGTGACTGTATTAACACTTTGAGTTGGATATCTTCTTAGAAGTGGGCTTGCTGGATCCTAGAATTGTATGTATCCAATCTTACTCAGATTTTCCAGTTTTCCAGACTATACTGAGTCATGCTACTGTCTACAGTGTAAGGAGTGTTCTAGTTCTCTCTTGACAGTAGGTGGTATTTTCATTCTAGTCATTTTATTTTTTTTTTAACTTTTTTTTTTTTAAAGATTTATTTATTTATATATACAAGCACTGGGTACAGTCAGAAGCGCAGGAGGGTGAAAGAGTTCACCAGAGCCAGAGTGGGGAACAGAACAGGCAGACTGACGAAATACACTGCTGAGGGTAGAGGCGGGCGGCAGGAGAGGTCTGCGCACCATGTGGGACCCTCACCGGTGACCGAGTATCGAACCGGCGCTGCAGAGGCTGCAGGCAGTTTTGCAGCCCAGCGCTTAACTGCTGCGCCACCAGGGGAGGCCCTCTAGTCATTTTAGTGGCATATATTGGTATCCCATTATACCTTTAAGGTATAATGCCATTTCAAGTGTTTATTAGCCATTTGGAGATCTTTGTGGAGAATATCTCATGTCTTTTGCCAGTTTTCTATTTCAGTTGTCTTGTTCTTACATTTATGTATATATTTTTCCTGTATTCTATGCATAAATCCTTTCTCAGATGAACATGTCTGAATATTTTACCGTATTTTCTTCCAAAAGCTCATTGCTCGGACTTGGGTTTGATCAGTCTTCCATCTGTAATCAATTTTCCATAGGTATACCAATTTAGCCAAAACATTTATTGAGAAAGACTGTCCTTTCCCAAACACAATGCAGGCTATCTTTGTCATAAGCTGGTGAACTATGAAGTTTTGCTTCTGGACCCCAATCTATTCCATTGGTCTACTTCTTACAATAATACCATCTTAATTACTATAGGAAATCTGCCCTGTTTTATATCTGGACCACTTACTAAGCGATCTCTACAAAGGTAATGGCTTTCCTGATACTTATTTACTAAAGATCAATCATTGATAAGTAATTTTCCAATTTCATCCCTTCTTAACATACTGTTTAGCACAGGGAAGTACAAATAATTAACTAGGCTACTTGTCTTACTCATTTTAGTGGGAATGTGGAGTGTAATGTTTACTTCAGTTTTTAGGGTTTTAAGAATGTCCATTAGTAGGGCCTCCCCGGTGGCGCAGCGGTTGAGCGCTGGGTTGCAAAGCTGCCCGCAGCCTCTGCAGTGCCGGTTCGATCCCCGGCTGCTCCCTGCCACCGGAGGAGGGTCCCACATGGCGCGCAGACCTCTCCTGCCGCCCGCTGCTCCCCTCAGCAGTGTACTTCGGTCCTTCTGCCTGTTCTGCTCCCCGCTCTGGCTCTGGTGAATTCTCTCACCCTCCCGTGCTTCTGACTGTACCCAGTGCTTGTATAAATAAATAAATAAATCTTTAAAAAAGAATGTCCATTAGTAGTATCCATTCAGGTAATGTTCATATATCAATTGTAATTTTTAATAGATCCATGAATTTGAAATATATACAATAATGTTACTAAAAATGTGTGATAATGGGCCTCCCTGGTGGCACAGCGGGTTAAACGCAGCACTATAAAGCTGTCCGCAGTCTCTGCAGCACCGGTTCAATTCCTGACCGGCCAGGGAGAAACCCACATGGCGTGGCAGACCTCTCCTGCCTTGCCTGCTGCTCCTCTCAGCAGTGTTTTTCAGTCTGTCTGCCTGTTCAGCTCCCTGTTCTGTCTGGTGAATTCTCTCACCCTCCCTGTGCCTCTGGCCTGTACCCCAATTCTTGCATAAATAATCTTTAAAAAAAGCATATACTACATTTTAAATAAATTTAACAATATGTCAGCATATAAATAAAATACTTGTGAGGTTGGTTTCAAATGTATGCCAATTTTTCTTTTTTCTTAAATATTCACCCATGCATACAAGAGCTAGGGCACAGGCCAGAGGCACAGGAGGGGCCGGGGAGGACTCACCAGAGACAGAGTGGGGAACAGACAGGCAGATGGACCAAAGCACACTGTTGAGGGAGCAGCAGGGCAAGTCAGGAGAGGTCTGCTGTGCCACATGGGCCGCTCCCTATCTAGCCAGGGATCAAACTCATGCTGCAGCAGCAACGGACAGCTTCATAGGTTGCATTTCCACCCTTGCGTGACCAGGGAGGCCCATGTATGTCAACTTTTTTTTTTTTAAAGATTTATTTATACAAGCACTGGGTACAGTCTGACGCGCGGGAGGGTGAGAGAATTCACCAGAGCCAGAGCGGGGAACAGAACAGGCAGACTGATGAGATACACTGCTGAGGTGAGCAGCAGGCGCAGCAGGAGAGGTGTGTGTGCCATGTGGGACCCTCACCCAGTGGCCGGGGTTCAAACCGGCACTGCAGAGGCTGCAGGTAGCTTCGCAGCCCAGCGCTCAACCACTGCACCACTGGGGAGGCCCCATGTATGTCAATTTTTAAAATGAACTTGAAACTTTTCATCTTCTATTTTATCTGAATATTTAAATAATAAACTGTGCCTATCTTAAGATTGTGAAAAATAAAACTGTATGTAGAACATAATATGTACTTTAAAAACTAACTGCTATTCTAGCTGATGCTGATTGTTTCTACAGTAGTTGAGTTAGATTGGGAAAGAGGGCCTCCCCGGTGACCTAGGGGTTAAGTCTCAGCACCATCATCAGTGCAGCCTGAGTTCAATCCCAGCCAAGGAGCTAACCCACATGGCACAAGAAGCCTGTCTTACCCACTGCTCCCCTCAGCAGTGCATTCCAGTAAATCCTATTCTGCTCCCCACTCTGTCTCTGGTAAATCCTTTTACACCCCACACACTCACCTCTGGCCTATACCCTAGATGTTCTACAAAATAAATATTTTTTAAAAACTGAGTTTCCTTGAAACTAAATCAGCACTAAATCATCTAGGCGGGGAATGTTTTATACAAGTAATCAAGTTGTTTTAACCCAAATTTCTTCCAGGTTGATTGGTCTAAGTAAGGCTGTGAGATCTGGTCTGAATTAAACAATACATTATTCCTCTCTAAATTTTGTTTTCTCTTTAAATTAGATGTACTAATTCTGACAATCATTTCTTACATTCAGTAACTATATACTTTTCTAATTTACTAATTTCTGATTGTTTCCGTTTTCCTTAGAGTTCTTTTTGCATGTTTAATGACAAATCGAAACGTTACCTCTTTCTTTTTAAACCAGGTAAGCATTTAATTAAGGCTGTGAATTTAGTTTTGATTTCAACTTTGACATCAAAATTCGGAGAATGGGGTAAGTACTTCAATTTTCATGTTTGTGTTTTATATCTTAGAAATAGTGTAGCATGGTCAGGCAATAGGCTAAAATATGTAAACATTGCGTGGGTGCTTGAAAGTAGTCTGCTTATAAAGGGAATTTGTTCAGTCTTAGACTATCCCAATCCTGTCTGACTTTGCTTATTTTACACTTTTGTCATAAATGTTTCTCATTACAGTAATCTTGGCCATAGTCTTCTCCAATTATCTTGGTGTTCTTGCTCAGTGCTTTCAGCTTCTCGCCACTGGATATATTACTTGTGGGCCTTCATTATGTTGAGGTGTATTATTTCTGCATGCAGTTTTTTTTAATTTATTCATATAAGAACTGGAGTGTAGGCCAGAGGTGCTGGGGTGAGAGGATTCACCAGAGACAGAGTGGGGAGCAGAACAGGGAGATCTACTGAAATACACTGCTGAGGGGAGTAGCAGGTGAGATAGGAGAGGTCTGCTCTTCCAGGACTGAACTCAATGCTGCAGTGGCTGGTGATAGCTTGATAGTGCTGAGACTTAACCACGTGTGCCACCAGGGAGGTCCTCTACATGCAGTATAAATGGAGGTTTTTATCATGGTTGGATGTTTCTTTCTCAAGTTCTGTTGAGCTGATCATATTTTTATCCTTCATTTTTGTTAATGTGGTATATCACATCAGTGTATAGCCACTGAATCATACATTCCTGGAACAAGCCCCTTTTAATTATAGCATGTGGTCCCTTTGATACACTGTGGAAGGGCCTCGCTGGTGGTGCAAGGGGTTAAGTTCAGCACTATGAGGCAACTTGCAGCCACTGCAGCACAGAGATTGATCCCCAGCCAAAGAGCTGACCCACATGGCACAGAAGACCTCTCCTGTCTTGCCCGTTGCTCCCCTCAGCAGTGTATTTCAGTGGATTTGCCTGTTCTGCTCCCCACTCTGTATCTGGTGAATCCTCTCACTCCATGCCCCTGCATCTCTGGCCTGTACCCCACCAGCTCTTGTATGCATAAATAAATAAATCTTTTTAAAAAAATACACTGTTGAGTTCAGTTTGTTAGCATTGTATTGATGATATTGGTACCTGCTTTTCTCAGATATGGGCCTGTAATTTTCTTGTCATGTTTTGGTATCAGAGTAATACTATCCTTGTAAAATGAGTTTAGAATTGTTATCTACTATGTTTTGGAAGAATTTGGCAAGTATTCATCTTGAAATATTTGGTAGAACTCACCTATTCCTGGATCTTTGGTAGCTTTATGATTACTGATTCAGACTTGACTAGATATTCTACTTCATGAGTTTGATTGGTGGGTTGTATGTTTCTTGGAATTTATTTCTTCTGCGTTGTCCAACTCATTGGACATAAAAGTCTCTTTTTGATGCCTTATTTCTGTGATACTAGTCGTACTGTTTTAGCTAACAGTCGTCTATTTTGTATTGTCTTTCTAGTCTCATTTCTCAATTTCTTTAGCCCATTGTTCAGTAGCTAGCAAAGTGTTTAATCTCAGCAATTGTGAATTTTCTACTTTGTAATTGATTTCTAGTTTCATATGCGTGATATTTCCATCTTAAATGTTTGTGTGGCCTAATGTGAGATATCCAGGAGAATGTTATGTATGCTTGAGAAAAATCATTGTGCTGCTCTCAGATGGAATGTTCTATAAATATCTGTGTTGACCTGGCCTCACTTGTTGTTTAGGTACATCTTTCCTTACTGATTTTTCTTTTGAAAATGGGATAGTGAAGCCTTCTGTTTCTAGTAAAAGCTGCACACACTGGCATCCTGACTGACAGTATGAAGAACTCACTTGAGGAGGCTGCTATATCAAAATTAGGTGTAGCTCTTATGCACCACCCAAGATTATAAGGAAACATAAAGCAGAAGAAAACATTTATTTGCGATTTAAAAGGTTTTGGGATTTGATCTTTTTAGCTTATAAAAAAGTTAGAAAATAATAAAAAATGAAACATTATTTTGGATATAAGCTGATGAGGGTCGGCTGTCACATGTCCTTCTGGCCATGTAGGGTTGCTGCCTGAAGCAGGGGTTGTCTACAGCTTCTGGATCAGTATGGCAGAAGCACCTCCTCCTCCATTGCAGATGCTGGCAAGACCGTATTGTCCCTGCTTCAAGGCATGAACTAAATGAACGACAATCCTGGCTCCAGACATCCTAGGAATAAAGAGGCATATTGGTTCTTTAATGAATTACAGTATTTATGGCTAGAAGAAAGTTCTCAATTCCAGGTTCTTAAAGTTAATTTAGGTGTAAGAAACTGCTAATAAACTACTTTTCTTATTAAACTTGGGAGACTTGTTTCAGAAACAGGACTATTTCATGAAGTCCATGTTTGAGCTTTAAAAAAAAACCTAACCTTTAACATAAAATTTCAAGCAGAAATGTGATTTGTGTTTGTTGTCAGTCCCATCAGAAATGTCTGCCTAGGAAGGGTGGGTGGGAAAGAAAACTGCCCAACCAACAGTACTAGGAATCATTATGAAGCAATTTAAGTTTAGATAGAAATACAGAGGCAGGCCGTGACCTAGACTTCTGTTAGGATTTTACCTACCCGATTGGATGTCCCAGGGAAACAGCTCCTCCATTGATATTCACTTTTTGAGGATCAATCTCCAGCATTTTAATGTTTGCTAATACAACCACGCTGAATGCTTCATTTACTTCCCACATTGAAATGTCTTCTTTTTTCAATCCTGCATCTTTAAGGACCTAAACACAGATTATGTTCAAATTATTTCATTGCTTTGCATTCCCCTTTGATGTAACAAATATTTAAATACAGAGATTTTGTTTGTACTATCTTATTTCTGCTTTGGAGAGAAAACATGATTTTTTTAATGTGCTCTATTTTGGGGATACATAGCATAATATTCTTAAGATACATTTACTGATGCCATGGGGTTATTTGGAGCACAAATATCTAGAGCTACCAAATCTTCATATTATGGTGCTGGTGGTTAACCCTAGTATCATAAAATATTATTAATTCCCTTTTACTGTAGAAATGGTTTTGCTCTGAGCAACAGTAAAACTAACATGAAACTTCCTCTCTCCCTCCAGTGGGCTCAGGTAGCTTTCTAAGCTGAGCAGCTCAAACACCTTCCTCCATTCCACCACCCTAAGACAAAACAGGGTAGGTACCTAAGTCAAGACATATCTTCAGGGGCCTCCCCGGTGGCACAGCGGTTGAGCGCTGGGTTGCGAAGCTGCCCGCGGCCTCTGCGGTGCTGGTTCGATCCCCGGCTGCTCCCCGGCCACCGGAGGAGGGTCCCACATGGCGCGCAGACCTCTCCTGCCGCCCGCTGCTCCCCTCAGCAGTGTACTTCGGTCCTTCTGCCTGCTCTGCTCCCCGCTCTGGTGAATTCTCTCACCCTCCCACGCTTCTGACTGTACCCAGTGCTCGTATAAATAAATAAATAAATCTTTAAAAAAAAAAAAAAAAAAGACATATCTTCAGAGCCTCCCTGGTGGCGCAAAGGGTTAAGCACAGCACTATGAAGCAATCCGCAGCCTCTGCAGCATGAGTTCGATCTCCGGCCGGCCAGGGAGACACCCACATGGCGAGCAGACCTCTTCTATCTCGCCTACTACTCCCCTCGGCAGTGTATTTCGGTCAGTCTGCCTGTTCTGTACTCTGCTCTGTCTCTGGTGAATTCTCTTACCACCCCCCCCCCCCCACACACACACACACACTCTTCTGGCCTGTACACCAGCTCTTGTATGCATAAGTAAATAAATCTTAAAAAAAAAAAGACACTATCTTCAGAGTCCAGGGTGCTGACCACCACACAGTGTGTGCTCCCAGTACACACACTGCCCTGTTACAGGTGGTGTCATGCTTTCCCATCTGCTACCTTCCTATCCCCACTGGCTTCTGCTCCTTTTTAAAATCTGGGTGTTGCCTGCAGTTGCTGTCAAGGATCTGCTAGAGTATTTTGACGTCCCTCACCCCAGCCCTCCTCGGCATTCTTTTCCTGTGACTCGGCAGTTTTTCACAGAGACTTAGTTTGGAGGATGTAAGTTTCTCAGTCTCTCGTTACCCTCTAAGCTCAGCTCCCTTCTAGCATGGAGACCTCACCATTTAGTAGTGACTGCTTTAATTCTAGAATCAGGACCCTCATCGCCTTTTTCTCTGCTGCACCCACCTCCCACGTTGTCCCCATACCAGACAGTAAGTTCAGAGTTATCCTTATTTCAGTTTTGTGATTTTGTTTGTACCACTGAAAGATGTAGTTTGTAGTGTGCTTAGAAAACCAACAGTTAGCATAATGGAGCATGGTCCTTGACTTTCTTACCTTAGGCACAGCATATGCAGGTGCAATGGGAAAATCAATGGGTTCTACAGCAGCATCAGCGAATCCTTTTTTATTAAAAAAAAAATCATTAAATCCTTTTATAAGCATCCAAAGTTAGATCTAACATTACATATAATATGTAAAAATGCAAGTTTCCTAAGCCTGCTAATTTTATAGCCTTATAAATTTTATAAGACTTAGAAAACGGATATTAACCTCTAAGACTAAAATTACACCAATCACCTAACCCATTGATAATCTCAGGGGAGGCAATCTGCCTGCAGGACCCTGGCCTTATCTACAGATAGTTTTGGTTGTAGCAGCAGGTGCCAGTAACCATTCTACAATGCAGCACTGTCCCCACAAGGTGTCAGTAATGCAGAGATTAATAAAACCTAAACTAAAAGTTACTAGGTTCTCATTAATAAAATAGTTGAGTCTTAACGAAGAAATCGGACAAAACGTACAGCCACAGTAGGGTTAAGGAGACTGAGGGCAAGCAAGATCCCAGAGTAACAAATGCTGGGACAACATCTAGTGCTCCTGCTTCCAGACTCCTAATTCCATATTCTTTTTATTCCACCTGGTTGCCTCTGGGATAAGACACTTGACTGCTCTTTTCACCCACTTACAGGGTAAGAAAACACTTCTAAAGCTTACTGTCATCACATAAAGTAAATCATAGTGAAAATAGCCAACTTCGATATTACGTATTACCAGCAAGGAGACAGTTTTAGCAATAGGAAGGGCTTATAGAGGATTAGGATAAGCTCAGTCAACATCTTCTACCTGCTACTCTGGCGAGTGGTTTAACCTGGAGCCTTTTGGCTGCCTCTGCTGTCATCAGAACCACAGCGGCTGCCCCATCGTTCAGTGTGCTGGCATTGGCAGCTGTCACTGTGCCTGGGAACATGGGTAAAAATGAAGTCAGAACACCCTTTCACATCGAAGTCAATTGGTTCAATTTAAGAAATACCGAGTACTGCCTGGGTCACTAGATGTATGGAAGATTATTGCTCCAGAAACACATACATAGCTAGGACAAGTCCTTGATGACAGTTTACTTACAGCTAACATAAAGGACAGGCCTGACAATCCGGAGTAAATGCTACAGTTTACAAATCAAGCATAAAGACCAGTTCATATTTTTTCTCCTCAGTCTAACAAAATGTATTTCTTCTTCCCTTCAGTTGAAATTGTCAACACTAAAATCACTATACTGTGCATTTTATGGTATGTAAGTTAGGCCAATTGGTTTTTTAGAAATATCAATGAATTCCCCATATTAGACTGCTGCTAAAATTAATTTTTTTTAAGATTTTATTGAATTATTTATTTATTTATTTTTGCAAGCACTGGGTACAGTCAGAAGCGTGGGAGGGTGAGAGAATTCACCAGAGCCAGAGCAGGGGAACAGAACAGGCAGACTAATGATACACTGCTGAGGGGAGCAGCGGGCGGCAGGAGAGGTCTGCGCGCCATGTGGGACCCTCGCCCGGCAGCCGGGGATCAAACCTGTGCTGCAGAGGCTTCGGGCAGCTTTGCAACCCAGCGCTCAACCGCTGCGCCACTGGGGAGGCCCCTAAAATTAATTTTAAAAACTGATTCCTGGGTCCTCCCTGGTGGCGCAGGGATTAAGTGTCAGCACTATGAGGCAATCCATAGCCACTGCAGCACAGAGTTTGATCCCCAGCCAAGGAGTTGACCCACATGGCGCAGCAGACCTCCTGTCTCGCCCGCTGCTCCCCTCAGCAGTGTATTTCAGTGGATCTGCTTGTTCTGCTCCCCACTCTGTCTCTGGTGAATCCTCTCACCGCACCCCACCCCCACACTTCTGGCCTGTATCCCAGTTCTTGTATGCATAAATAAATCTTAAAAAGATTTCTGCAGTTGTCATTGAGAAGTTCAGTCAGGAAGGGGGAAAAAATCTAATTTCACATTATCATAACATCTGTAAACCTCCAATTTTCAAGCAAAAACACCTTCTCTCTAGTCCACAGCTCCCTGAGGACTTACTACATGCCAGGCACTGGAGACAGCAGTGAACAACAAAGCATTAGCTTAATTCTACAGTCATTTTACACTCTCTTCCCTAGGATTTATATGTTGAAGTTATCAACTGTTAATCCAAGTATATTTAAAATTAGCATCATTCATTAATCTCATTTGACCCTGACATACTGAAAATATTAAACATAAGAAACATGTTCTAAAGTTTTTGAAAATCCTTTGGCAGTTCCAAGACTAAAGAGGTTATATGCTTCATTTCAGAATACTAACCATTTTCTTTTTGGAAAACTGTCTTCAGCTTTGGAACTTTGCTAAAATCAACACGTTTATATTCTTCATCTTCTTTCACCACTACATCTGGTTTACCTAAAACAAAAATCTTTTTTAGCCACCTCTCAAAACAGTCATTCAGCAGGAAACGGTTCCTAAGGGGTCAGGTAGTCTGCCTCCCTTAATGCCTACAGACCTTAACTATCCCAAGTGGACTCTATTCTAGAATCCACCGCTTTCAGTCTTGGTGAGTTGGAAGTTGATTTGGTGGCTTTACACAATTTAAATGTGTTCAGAGGTGCCCCCTCCCCTGACCCCCTGGAGATGGCAGCAGAGGCTTGGAAGGTGCTCAGGACAGGTCACCCATCCAGTGGAGCTTATGCCACACTACGGAGTCTGCTGGAGCCGTGAGCTCTCTTCTCTGAAGAGGAGTCCTTATTCATGTGATGCTAGAAATAAGATAACTTTAGGAAGCCTGAGAGCATGAAGCACAAAAGTATGCAAGCACTTGCATACTTCTGCTGAGAGGCCAGCCAGCGCTTGTCCCCACAGCACTGAACACCTGAGATGACTACTGCCTCTTTTTTTTCTGCTTTAACACATCAAAAACACAATTACTTCCTTTAATTTGGGGAGGTATCCCTTCCCCGCGCATCCCCCCCCAACCCATCTAGTAAATCCCCTTTTTCACTTAAGCTCATGTATTGTCTGTCACTTATTTTAGAGAGAGTTCTAGAAATACATTTTGCAATTGGGTTGAAATCTGGTATTAAGTTGGGCTGCGTATGTTACCTCTGAACTGGCCACTTCTGTGACTGACCATTAGCATCCTCGGTGACATGAACAAAGACAAAAATGTTCTAATATGAAATTTAAATTTAGCAACATTAAAAACTAAGATCTTAGGACATTCTCTACCTTTTACTGTAATTGTGACAGGCGTAACTTCGTTTCCAAATTTTCCTGCTTCCCATGCTGCTTTGCTTCTGGTGTAGGAGTTAATAGCATAAGTATCCTGTTCCTCTCGTGGGATCTTCAGCTTCTTAGCTGTGTTTTCAGCACAGTTGCCCTGATAAAAGTTGGAACTTTTTTATTTTTTTTTTTTTTAAAGATTTATTTATTTATTTATTTATTTATAAAAGCATTGGGTACAATCAGAAGTGCGGGAGGGTGAGAGAATTCACCAGAGCCAGAGCGGAGAGCAGAGCAGAGCAGGCAGACTAGTGAAGTACACTGCTGAGGGGAGCAGCGGGCGGCAGGATCGAACCAGCATTGCAGAGGCTGCGGGCAGCTTCGCAACCCAGCGCTCAACCGCTGAGGAGGGGAGGCCCATGTTGGAACTTTTTTAAAACAAACTCTGCATAGTGTAAAATAATGGCTGGTAGTTGAACTTAATAGAATTTCCCTTTGAAATAACACTATTAGAAAATAAATTCCAGTACAGGACAATTTAACATTGGAGCCAAGCAGATGCTATGAGCATATGAAAGTATTTCCCTACAATGATCGGCTAAAATCAACATTTATACTGCCGATCTTTCAGTTTCTAAAAGACATCTATTGGGAAAACTCAACAGAATTGTACATTAGATGGTATCTCTCCATTAAAAAGCAATTACTTCAGTCCTTCTGCCTGCTCTGCTCCCCGCTCTGGCTCTGGTGAATTCTCTCACCCTCCCGCGCTTCTGACTGTACCCAGTGCTTGTATAAATAAATAAATAAATCTTTAAAAAAAAAAAAAGCAATTACTGGGCCTCCCCTGGTGGCGCAGCGGTAGAGCACTGGGCTGCGAAGCTGTCCACAGCCTCTGCAGCGCCGGTTCGATCCCCGGCCTATCAGCGAGGATCCCACATGGCGCCCAGACCTCTCCTGCCGCGCCCGCTGCTCCCCTCAGCAGTGTATTTCATTGTTCTGCCTGTTCTGTTCCCAGCTCTGGTCTCTGGTGAATTCTCTCACTCTCCCGCACTTCTGACTGTACCCAGTGCTTGTATAAATAAATAAATCTTTTAAAAAAAAAAAGCAATTACCATGTGAATCTTATTGTAGACATCAGTTAAGCCATCTTTTACGATCAAATCTTCAAGTTTTAGCCCACCGTAGGGGGTTGCTCCTCTGTTCATCACATAGGGGACGTTGGACATGCTCTCCATCCCACCTGCCACCATCACATCCTGCTCAGCAGACACACAAAATTCAAGCCAATAAGTGCACACCCTTTGCACAGTGCAAACAAGAAGTACCCTCTTGACCCTGATGAAAGGACATGGTCTTAAGATTAGAATCAGCCATGAATCAGAATGCTAGGAGTCTTACATGTAAGAACACCTGAAAGTCTAGCCATTTCACTCACACCGCCAAGAAATTATTTTCTTCTAAAAGACTAAAAGTAATCCAGATCTTGGGGGTAATACTTCTGGAAGGTTCCTTGAGATCAGCTTCTTCATCATCTCTTCCCAGACAGCTAGTGCTGTCCTACTTGACTTTCTGACAGGCACCCTTTCCTCCTTCCAACACGTCATCTGCCCTCATCAGAGTATTCTGGCTAGAATGTGAATCTGATCATTAAAGGATTCTCAGTGTAGTATAGAGGCCCTTTATGACCTGACTTCTCTGCCTTTCCAGACTATGCCTGGACCTATCTCTCAGTTCAGAAGAACTACTTGAAGGTCTCCTAAGGTACCATGCTCACCCACACAGACCTCTGTGCTCTGGCATGTCCACCAACATGTAAAATACCTATATTTCCTTTAAAACCAATCAAAAGTGACTTCTGACTTCCCTGACCTATTTCTATTGCTTTTGAGAAAATTTCCTTTTGTGCACCCCAATTACAGTGTAATTCTTTCACTTCTACTACACTGTATTATAGCTATAGTCATATGTCAAATCTTCTCATGAAACTAAGCTCCTTTGAAGCCAGAAATCCTGTCATGTCTGTTTTCGGTGGTGGTGGTATGTGGCATACTACAAGCTTAATAAATACTAGTTTACCTGTTGTTACTTTAAAAATTTCATATGCATTATAAGGGCTAATTCAAAATAAATAGTTTAAATATTGGTACAAATATAAAATTAAAACCAATATTTTCTCACAGCCTTTAGTCAGTGAAGACAAGTTCTACACCGAAGAAGAAATCTAAATATTGTGCCTATTTTGGAGAGTCCCAATGAATTCATGTAGAGGTTTTATTCACTGAATAAATACTGAATTTTCCAGGGATAATGGCAATAATGACAGGAAATAAAATAAGTTATTCTTCATTAAAAAAATTGAACATTATAATCATAGATTATTCAAAATAAGGCAATTCCTAGCATTTCTGCAGTCACTGCACATGTACAAATAAGGAAGAGAAACTGAAAGCCTAGGTGGAGGACAGCACAGCATTGTGATGTGCTGTGGACCACAATCAAGGCAGATACAACTTCAGAACTTATCATTCACTTTTGAAACATCCAAACATCTCAACAATTTTTTCTCCACCTGTTGGCAAGGGTTAGGTAAGATCCCCATGAGACCTTGTATAGCCAACCAAATTCTCAGCCTCTCAAAAGTGAGTAACTGGTACAACTTTTATGGAAAACATCAAAAATGTGTTCACTCATCTCCAGTGAACATCACATAGTAGATGCTAAGCTAATGGGTTTTAAATTACTGTAGGTCCAGGCTGTGCTTAGCGATGACACTTCATTGCCTACAGTGATACTTCAGTAAGACACTGAAATACATGGTAGCTGTTCAGTTAGAATACTAACCTGTGTGCAGATACAGATTCACCTTCAAGACATTAATTGGGGCGCAGAGGAACAAGACCAAGGGACAAACAAACCCTTAGGCTCAGACAACAGAATGGTGGTTACCAGAGGGGGCAGGGTGTGGTGGGGGGAGACATGAGATAGAGGGGGCAACGGGTTGGTGGTGGATGGTAATTAGACCTTGGGTGGAGGGCATGCTATTGCACAGCAGGTGTGAAGCTATACCCCTGAAACTTATTACCTCAAAAAGAACTAATTTTAAATTTTGCTTTTCTATACCATTTCAATTTTTACATGTACATCTATATAGAGCTTCTAAAATACAGGAGCTGATGCATTCATTAGCTCAGATATCACTGCCCTTTTTTGTTTTTTTCTTCTGACTTTGCCTTATAATTAGAAACAAAGCAAGAGTAAAGTTCAGGACACACTTAACTGTGGTTCCTGCTATGAAAAATTAATTTGCAAACACCTCACAACTGATTTATAAACTGTTGCGCCAACTTGAACTCAACTCAACTTGAAAAAAGGATTTGGATCTGATAAGCTCAGTTCTCTGACGAGGGACTTGTCTCCTAAAACCATAATGTGTTTGCTGAACAGGCTGTCGCTTCCTTACCTCAGGTAAAGAAAAGATCTTAATCGTCAGTGCAAACAGGCCTGCACCTCTGAACCCGGGCGTGTGGAACTGAATCAGCCACCGATTCTGGGCTCAATCGGCAATTTTATTCCTAGGCTCAGAGCTTATTCTCACTTAAAATAAAAAGCCTTATTTTATCAGATATAAACTTTCATGAGCTTTAAATCACCTGAAATCTCAGAAAAACCCTAAGTAAAGTGTCATCCAAAAACTAGTTTAAATTAATCAACTGGAGACAGCAGCCTGGCTGTAAACAACTTTTTAATACAAGACACTGAAGCTGGCCCTTGGACCACTACCCCTGATTAGCACATCCAAAAATTCCAGAGTCTGAAACAAGAAAGCAGCTGCAACCCCCTCCCCAGAAAGAATTTCATCACAAAGCAGGAATACACTTCGATTCAGCCTGTCAGCACTGGGTGCTGTTTTCATTCCATCTGGAAAAGGGATGCGTCTTACCTGGTGCCCACACATGAGGTTCTGCGAGGCCATCATGATGGCCTTCATCCCAGAGGCACACACTTTGTTGATGGTTGTGCATGGAGTGGAGATAGGTAAACCTGAGGCCGTAATATCAGAGGGAAGACTTTGAAAAAGACTCATTTTTCAAACAACTGCAAACTTATAATAAGAGTACGTTAAATTACAATCTGCAAAATTTCTTCTGCCAACAGAAATCTATAAAGACCATATTATGCACTTCACATTTTGTTTAAGCTGAAATGGCCTCCGTTTTGCCATGTCAAACATTTTAAGAATAAAAATAAAAATGTATTCCTGATACCTGCACCCAGTACTGCTTGCCTTGTCGGGGCTTGTCCTTCACCTCCTTGTAGAACATTGCCCATGTACGCTTCCTTCACTTCTTCTTTTGCAATCCCTTTAAAAACACAAGGTATTAGGCTTTTCCATATTATTCAACTTAATGGTTACTCATTACCTAACAGTGTATAACATTCTACAGCAGAAATGGCTTACCTGGTCAGTTTTTGAATTTGGGGTTTTTTTTTTTTGGGGGGGGGAAGCATAGAAGAATTGGGGTATTGGCCAAAGATGCAGGGGGTGAGAGGATTCACCAGAGACAATGTGGGGAGCAGAACAGGCGGATTTACTGAAATATACTGCTGAGGGGAGCAGCGGGTGAGACAAGAGAGGTCTGCTGCACCATACGTGGGTTAGCTCCCCTGGCAGAGGATTGAACTCGGGCTGTTGTGGTGATAGTGCTGAGAATTAACCCTGAGGCCATTCTTAACTCCATTAGGGACATCTTTACAAGGGACTTCAATAGGCATTAAATGATTTCTAAGTGTTACGTAACTTTATAAGTGCAAAATACTTGTTTGGGGTCTCCCTGGTGGCGCAGGGGGTTAAGTCCCAGCACTATGAAGCTGTCTGCAGCCACTGCAGCACAAGTTTGATCCCCAGGCAGGAAGCTAACCCACATGGTGCAGCAGACCTCTCCTGTCTCACTGCTGCTCCCCTCAGCAGTATATTTCAGTAGATCTGCGCTTGTTCTGCTCCCCACTCTGTCTCTGGTGAATCCTCTCACCCCCCGCACCTCTGGCCTACACGTACCCAGCTCTTATGCATAAATAAAGTAAATCTTTTAAAGAAATAAAATAAAAATAAATAAATGCTTGTTCTATTGAATCACTGCCCCCTCAACACACAGCAAAGCCATACTGACCTGCCTTTTCAATGGCGCTCTGAATCGCAATGGAGCCCAGTTTAGTGGCTGGGAGAGAGGAAAGGTTACCAAGAAAAGACCCAATGGGTGTTCTTGTCGCACTTACTATGACCACTTCCTGGTAAGACAGAAGATAAGAACTGTTATTATTTTACCCAAATTGTTTTTCATAAAATGAACATAATCAATGGATGTATTATTTAAGTAGGCTTTTTATGAATAACCACATCAAAGACTGAAATAATCCTGGCACTTAACCTGATTATTTAAAAATAACCAGATCAAAGTTGATGCTATATGGTTGAAAACCAACTCTGGAACAGGCACACATCCTTCCTAGGCATCCACTGGAAATTTGAAACCTGGAACTTAAGTCTCAGTTCTTGTACACAGACAAAATATACGAGACAGTCTGGAACTACATAACAACACTAACCAAAGGGCTTATCTCTGTAGGGGAGGCCAGGCCAGGAATCAAGACCCACATGCTAGATGGGACATACCATTTAACTAGGACATAACAGAGCCACACTTTGTCACACAATTAATGATAGGAAAGTTAAGAAAATAGATAAAAGCTCTTAAATACTTTAAAACACATAACAATTCTCTGCCTCCCACATTCTCCTATTAGGTTCACAGGGGAGGACTTTCCTGGATTTTGACAGGTGGCTATTACTGGTCACTTTAGGGCCACTTAGGAAACAAGGACCAAAGAAAGTACCAGGCAGCCCTTCCTTCCTAAGCACCAACCAAATTCTGTCCCTTTCTCGAGGTTCTTCATGGGGCCCATGCACTGCGCTACACACAGTATAACGAGGGTCCTTGGAGTAAAGGGGAGACACTGCCCAGTTTACAGAGAATGTTGTTTTGCTTACACAAAGGGGAAAGCGGTAGACATTTTGCGAGGACTAAATTGAAACTGTGTTTGTTCATTTGGGAATTTAATATAGCCATAATTAGCTCTATTCCATCACCCTATGACGACCCAAACATACAGGGAAATCATTTTTATGACTACATGGGAATTTGTACTTACATTCAAAGTGGGTTTGGATCCATAACTTCGCTCCACACATTTTATTTCCTGTAATATAAATATTTATAATGTTACAATGCACAAAGGTAAGTATCCACATTACTTTATAAACTTCTCAGTGGCAGAGTTACCATGATTTCTTTCTGCTGCTTTATACCTTTGTTTCTGAACTTTCCACATTGAGCATGTACCACTTTTATAACCAGAAGTGAAATTACTCCTTTGTAACAAAGAAATTATAACTTTGTAATAATATCCTTTTCTAATTCAGTAGAAATGTTTTAACTTCTCATGAGTTTATCATTTTAAATTTCTAAGCCCTTCTTTAAGTATAAGCTTTATAAAATGTACTTTAAGTTAAATCTAAGTTCCAAATTAAATCAACTTAAGAGTACCATAAGGAAAATCATCAGTTTAAAAAAAAATTTTCTTTAAGTCAGACTTGTTATTTCTCCCCCATCCACTTTTTTTTTTTTTCCAGATTGATTTATACAAGCACTGGGTACAGTCAGAAGCGCGGGAGGGTGAGAGGATTCACCAGAGCCAGAGCGGGGAGCAGAGCAGGCAGAAGGACCGAAGTACACTGCTGAGGGGAGCAGCGGGCGGCAGGAGAGGTCTGCGCGCCATGTGGGACCCTCCTCCGGTGGCCGGGGAGAAGCCGGGGATCGAACCGGCGCCGCAGAGGCTGCGGGCAGCTTCGCAACCCAGCGCTCAACCACTGCGCCACCAGGGAGGCCCTCCCCCATCCACTTCTAACAAGTGACTCTGACATATTTGAGGCAGACATACTTCATATAAACATGGTCTTTGCTCCCAGATAAATTCTTTACTATAGATATCTTGCCTCTACATCTCAGTTCTTTCCATGTTGTTCTTAGGAACAAATGCCAACAAGTTCTGTAAATGCAGGTCACAGCTCAGAGACCCAAACGATCTGAAATCGATCTATTTATAGGACACAACAAAGAATGAAATGTTTATCTTCTGAGGTGACAGCATTATAAGTATTCAAAAATAACATATTTAGAACCTTATGGATAGTTATAATGGCTAATCATATCAGAGTAAAAATGAAAAAACCTACAAACATCTATAAACTTATTTTTTTTAAGATTTATTTTTATTTATGCATACAAGAACTGGGGTGTAGACCACAGGTATGAGGGGGATGGGTGAGAAGACTCACCAGAGACAGAGCGGGGAGCAGAACAGACTGACTGACTGAAATACACTGCTGAGGGGAGCAGTGGGCGAGACAGGAGAGGTCTGCTGCACCATGTGGGTCAGCTCCCTGGCCGGGGATTGAACTCCTGGTGCAGTGGCTGGCCATAGCTTGATAGCACTGAGACTTTAACCCCTGCACCACCAGGGAGGCCCAAACATCTATAAATTTTAAACTGTCCCAAAAACAGCACCACAGATTAAACTTTATAAATTTTAAACTGCCCCAAAAACAGCACCACAGATTAAACTTTGTCCTGATTCAATACAAATAACCAACTGTGGTTTTCAGTTTATAACTGCCAAAAAGATAGGCAAAAAAATATTTGACAAGCATTAGTGATAAACAGAGATAACCATAAGGTATCCCCCTAAAATTTACTTATTATAAAATGTTTAGTTGAGAATGGATATATGCAAATAGCAACTTACAGACATTGCTTTCCTTGGTGGTGAAGAAATTTAACTCTAAGGTAATCTTTTTGCCAGTGTTCATAGTGTGGAATAAGTCACCTTTATGGAGAAAGTTCCCAGTAACAGCTCTGCTATAAGGAATGCCCCCGAGTCCTGACGGACCCATCATGGCATTCACTACACCCCTTGTCCTGGAGATACTTTCAGAGCCCGTGAAGGGGCGATGACAAGGCACGTGAGCATATTCATCCTCCACTTGCTCATGAACCTGCCAAGTTCACTGACCTTGCAGAAGGTTGGAGAATTTGAGATCAACAAGACATGGTCCCTCTACTAAAGCAGGATTATCATAAGAGAAATGTTAAAGCTACTTGGATTAGAGTCCCAGGATAGAATTTGGTAAGAACTACAAGAGAAATAAGCCATTCCCAGGGTTCATAGGAGAAAGATCCCTTGGGGGTGTACAATGGACTCAAATCCAGGGTTCTGCTGAAATGCCTCAGATAAGTACTGTACCACGTATTATTTTAAATACACCTTTCAAATCAGTCTCATGTAAACTCGACAGGTCGCGTCACTTGGTGCTGTCAGATTGGCCTGATTGTGCAGACCTTGAAATAAAACAAGCATGTACATATCTCTGCACTCGTGCCTCGAACACTGTGTCCCTGGATAGGCAGGCTTGTGTTTTTAGCTGGCCAGCCCACCTGTGCTCAGTAGCAAGGCCTAAGTGCAGCCTTACAGGTCACAGATTTTGGGCTGCTGTTTTTATTACCTACACAGGGAATGATTCTGGCAATTGTCTGCCATCCAACTTTGAATCAGAAGTTCCTATTTGTAGTAAACAAGCTAGTCACTGCCTTGCCAGGTACACAACTTTCTCAGAAGGCTCTGGAATGGACAGCCCCAAGTACCTACAGAGTGATTCCCTTCCAGCCCCAAATGGGCAGAGCTGAAAGGACCGAGAATGGAATGGACTCTGACCCAAGCTGGCCTCCTGCGAGACTGGGGCCATGGCATGATGGCGGCCACCAGAACTGCAAGGTCACAAGGGGTTGGAGCTCACCGGCACCATGGCCGGCCAATGCCACGTACAAGCAGAGAGGAAAGTGATTTAAGCCAAGACAAAAAGGAAGGGAACATGTAAACTCAGAAAAGAAGCAAAGGTGGGGCCTCCCTGGTGGCGCAGGGGTTAGGACGCAACCTATGAAGCTATCCACAGCCACTGCAGCATGAGTTCGATCCCCAACCAGGGAGCTACCCACATGGCGCAGCAGACCTCTCCTGACTTGCCCACTGTTCCTCTCAGCAGTATACTTCAGTCAGTTTGCCTGTTCTGTTCCCCACTCTGTCTCTGGTGAGTCCTCTCACCCCCCACCCCCCTGGCCTGTACCCCAGCTCTTGTGTGCATAAATAAATAAATCTTAAAAAAAAAAAAAAAAAAAAAGCAGCAGCTGCTTGAGACCAAAGGCCAGGCTTGATTAGCGATTTTCTAGGTAGGGTTCCCCAAGTCCACTGCCCTCTACTTCCTGTCCTTTGCTGGTTTTTGTGTATCTTCAAAAATATTCATTTCTCTTTTTTTTTTTTTTAATGTTCATTTCTTTTTAGCCAGTTTGGAATGAGATGAGTTTCTTTGCAATCAAAGGGCCTCCTAAGCCACATCAGCTTTTGAAGTTTCTGGATCCATTTTTTTTAAAAAAGATTTATGCATACAAGAACTGGGGTACAGGCCAGAGGTGTGGGGGGTGAGAAGTCACCAGAGACAGAGTGGAAACAGAACAGGCAGACTGACTGAAATACACTGCTGAGGGGAGCAGCGGGCAAGGCAGGAGAGGTCTGCTGTGCCAGGTGGGTAGCTCCCTGGCCGGGGATTGAACTCGTGCTGCAGTGGCTGTGGAGAGTTTCACAGTGCTGCATCTCAACCCCTTGCACTACCAGGGAGGCCCTCTGGATCCATTTTATTGAAAGTTTCCTGGTCTCCATTTAGCCCTAGACCCCATCACCAGTTGCACTGTCAAAGATGCCATGTTTTCAGTTATCCCTTCCTTGTCCCCTCTGTCCTCCATCCCCTTCACTCCTTCCCCTCAGAGCTTTCACCTCACTTCTTGGCCTCCCTGTGCAACAGAAGTTCACAAATTACCTACAGTTCATTCCCTCTGACGCGCTTTCCCCTCCCCAGCTGCTGTCAACTGTATGTGGCAAAATGTAATCCTTGTTAGAAGAAGCGCCTCCACCTCCAGCCACAACACGGGCAAAGTGGTTCAGAGCCTGAGTGTTGCCCGGGGCATGTCACTCACACGGCTCTTCCTGGTCTTCTCCAAATGACATGATCAGGCCTGGGGCAAGTTGGGTTAAGCAGGCAGCTTCAGGGACTCTGGGAGAATTAAAGAGGCTTCCGAGATGAGGACAGTGAGGTCTAAGAGGTGCTAACCAAACATACCGCAGAGATGAGGGCAGAAAGTCCCGGAGGACGAAATAAACAAGGGCAGTAGCACATGAAAGAAAAAGACCTTGGGAGGTAAAGGAGAAACACTGAGAGCAGAGCTAGGGAACAGGCACATCTGCCAGGAGAAGCATGCCACTGCGGGGAGAGCCCAGCACAAGGTATGATGGTGAGATTTTTTTTTTTTTAAAGAGGCATGTATTTTATTCATTTATTTATTTGTTTGTTTGTTTCTTTGTTTTATACAAGCACTGGGTACAGTCAGAAGCGCGGGAGGGTGAGAGAATTCACCAGAGCCAGAGCGGGGAGCAGAGCAGGCAGAAGGACCGAAGTACACTGCTGAGGGGAGCAGCGGGCGGCAGGAGAGGTCTACGCGCCATGTGGGACCCTCCTCTGGTGGCCGGGGAGCAGCTGGGGATCGAACTGGAGCTGCAGAGGCTGCGGGCAGCTTCGCAACCCAGCGCTCAACCGCTGCGCCACTGGGGAGGCCCTGATGATGAGAATTTAGAGTAGAGAAAAGAAAGTTTAAAACCCCCGCTGGACACGGGCCCCTGAGGGCTTATTCGGCCCTCCCAGGTACAGCGCACCTGGAGTGCTTGCTCTCTTCCTTTGAACAAGCTGTTCTCTACTTTCTTGAATGAAGGTTGCTTCTCTCTGCTTGTTTATCTGAAAAGTCTGTGATTCTTTTTACGGCTTCATGGGACAAGAACTGGTGGTGGATCAAGGGCAAATTCCTGGCTTTTCAGTTAGACAGGGGCAAAAAGCAGCAGCAGCAGAGGTACAGCGCACACCGGCTTCCGTGACACGGGGAAAGCAACGCGCAGGCCTGCCTTAGGGCTTCCATTTTATCTAAATCCTGAGGGTCCCCTCTTACCTCACAAGTGTTTTTCTGAAGTTTCCTTTGCTGTCCCTCCTTCCTAATCTCTAAGTGCTCAAATGTCCAGGCGCTCCTTTAGGCCCCTGTGAATTT